GCAGAGATAGGGAAGCCCTTGGTGATAGAATGTCAAACCCCAAATGCAGGTGGATAAAAATGAAACCGGAGCAACTCGTGTTTCTTTTGTTCATTCACTGGCTCATTCATTCAGCAGACGCCAAACTCTTGCTGTGCATGGGCAGATGCCTCAGGAGCACACGGGAGCGTTGCGCCCCCGCGCGCCCTCCCCCCCCCCCCATCTTCTTGCCCATAGCGGGGCACAGGGAGCTGGTGCGAGGGTGTGGCATCTGGGACCCAAAGCCTCTTGCCATTAGAACAAAGCATTTGCAAACGCACCGCCCAATGTCTGAGCACACTGGCCTTTGGAGTTTAGGATTAGTTGCTGAAGTATCAGCAGCTGAGGCCCCAGCTCGTTCCCTCATGGGTTAAACAATAACGCTGTCCCTTTGCTTTTCTGGTCACGGATTGCGACGTTCTCTGACCGCGTTCTACCCTCGGTTCAAAAATTCGATTAGCCCCTCCCTTTCAGGATCTGTCGTGACGTCACAGGCTTGCCGTAAACAATAGGCCATGACGTCAACCAGAATCCCTGGTGCTGCTCAAAGGAACTGTGTTGGTCAGAAAGGATTCTGTCACCTGAAGACAAACATGGAATAATCTGGAAAGCCAGGGGACCTGGAGATCGGTACCAGCAGGGACATCTCGGCAGTACAAGACAACAGTGGGTCTGGAGCCTTCTTTGCTGGAACGCTTTACAAGCAAGCAAGGCACTGAGGAGACTGGAGAGCCAGCGGGCGTGCCTGGCGGCGGGGGATGGAGGAGGTGACCTTCAGAGGCCCTTGCAGCCCCAGGGCCCTACCCCACGGAGGATGTCCGGAGAAGGGGAAACTTGACCATCATCAGCGGCGCTGAGAGTTCAGGGGAGTGAATGGCACTGCAGCTCTCCTTGCCCTTGAGCAGATCTGACGGTGCCAGCTGGAGGTCATCTCATCGCATCTGGAAGATTTTCAGAAATCAACACGCAGTGACCCCGAGCCCCTCTGCTGCCCTCTTCCTCACGCGCTCTGGGAAGAAGCCTTCCTCCCGTGTCTCCTGAGCAAAGAAACTGGTGTTTGCTACCAGCCCAGCACCCGCTCCACGTGCTCCTCCACTGGACCACCCCACGCCGAGAGCAAGCGAGCTGGCGCTGTGTCCGAAGGGAGCGCGCGGGGGACTTGGCAAAGCTTCGCTCGGTCTGCTCCTGTCCAGACAGAAGGAGGCTGGGCAGGCTGGGAGAGGAGAGAGGGGACTGAGCCACCCCAGCGCCCGGGCAGCAATAGCACACGAATCCGGAGCTGCATTTAACCCCTGAGCCCACAGGATCGGAGCATCCGGGCTGGGAGGCGGCAGCAGGGAGGACCGCCTCCCCCCAGGTCGGCTGGCTGTGTTTCTGCTGTGCAGACAGGCAGCCCCAGACTCCTCCACCTGCCCAGCCGCGCTGTGTCCTTAGCTCAGGGAGGTTTGACTGGCTGGAAGTTGCACACCTGCTCCCCATGCCTATTTCCATCTCAGCGTCTCCTCCTGGGGGACCTGGACTGGGAGGAGCAGCTCCGCTCGCCTTACTCTGCCGGGAGCACTCTGAGGGGCTGGGTGCTGGGGAGCCACAGGCCCCCTAGAGCACCTGGGCACCCTTCCCACCACCTGGGGAGAGCCCGCCCCTTTCCCTCGTGCTAGAGCAGGGAAGGGGGGGGGGGGGAAGCAGCAGTGTCTGGAGCTCGGCCAGGGACCGGAGGACTTACTGCTCAGAGGATGGTAGGAGCAGGGTGGCTGGGAGGTCCTCCGAGGTTGCTGAGCGGGGACGGAGCTGCCAAAACGATGCTGAAGTTCCGAGCCGATCGCCGGGTCAGGTAGGGATCTCTTCAGTGGACATAAGCGGAGCGAAGTGAGAGCAGGCGGCGCCGGCAGCTCCTCGGGCCCGGGCTTCAGAGTGTGGGGTCCGCCGACCCGCCCTGGAGGCAGGAGACAGTTAGGTCACAGTGGCTGCTGCATTGCAGTGCTTGCCAAGGGGAAGCTGTGCTGGAACTGGTGGTGCCGGGCTGGAGAGAGGACGTCATTTGTAGGGGCTGCTGGGTAGAGAGTCTGGGGCAGGGAGGAATTCGCCGTGCCCTGAAAACAGTGCCAGCTGACAGCAGACTGCGTGCGTCTGCACGTGTGGTGTGTGTGTGTGTGTGTGTGTGTGTGTGTGTGTGTGTGTATACACGAGTGCCTGCAGGAAAGGTGTCAGCAGCGTTAGCAAAGGAGCGTGTAAAGCACAGGGGACTGGGGTGGGGAACGGTGCTCTGTGTCACATGGAAAAGCAGAGACCTTGGCACCTGAAGGACCTTCGTTGTCAGACTGCCCGCCCCCTGGGCCCTGGGGGGCAGAGCCAAGGATGAGGGTGACTGAAAACAGCTACCCATCCTTGCAAAGGTCCCCTGTGGGTGAGCTGAGGAGAGCATCCTGGTTGTACCTGGCAGGGAGGAAGGAAGAGAGTTTGAGAAGCAGGAGCAGGTGATCAATATACTAATGTTAGAACCCAGGCCAGATGGACACTGGCAGGACAGGGTCCTGGCCAGCAAGCCCAGGCTGCAAAACCCAGATTTCCCCTAGGCCAGTGGTCGGCAAACTCATTAGTCAACAGAGCTAAATATCAACAGCACAACAATTGAAATTTCTTTTGAGAGCCAAATTTTTTAAACTTAAACTTCTTCTGACACCACTTCTTCAAAATAGACTCGCCCAGGCCGTGGTATTTTGTGGAAAAGCCACACTCAAGGGGCCAAAGAGCCACATATGGCTCGCGAGCCGCAGTTTGGCGCAGTTTGCTGACCACGGCCCTAGGCTATCACTACCACCCGGCTGGGCTCCCATCTACTAAATGCCTTGGAATTTGATCTTAACATGGTTGGTTTAGAAGCTGAAAAAATACCCTTTGATATTATCTTTAGCTTCAACAGACAGCCTGGGGACTGGGATGTGTCCTGGGGCTATTGAAAGGGTCTCCAGAAGGTTCTTTTACTTCTCTCGTGCAGCTGAAGGGACCAGGCTCAGGTCTCTTTCCCGTGGCACCAGCTGACCAGCTGGCCCCCGCTGTGGGGGTGCTAGTGTGGCCGGTGTGAGGACCCACAGCCTCGGTACAACCTCAGCAGGCTCTGTCCAGGCTGTGTCTCCCCGGGGCTGGGGGAGGAGGACTCCGCACCCTTCCAGCCCTCACTGGCTGCATGCTTGAGTCTCCTACAACTTTCTTGCCAGGTGGTCCCCTGCGTGGCGAATCCATCTCAAATGGCTGCCTTCTGTGGCTTTGACCCACTGTACCAGCTCCCTCCACATTCATATCCTCCCTCCCCCACCTCCCCAAAGAGCCACCAGGGAACTGGCCTGGCATTCAGTCAGCTGGGCGGCACGGCAGGACTTTCCAAAGGAGCCTCCACAATATTGCTCCACAGACCCCGCCCTGGCCCATGCCCCCTGCTTCCTGCAGGCTGTCCTCCCAGCACCCTGCTTCTGGCCCACACATCCCTTCATTCGATCTGACTGTTGAGCCAGCACTTAACCTTATTGTGGGACTCGCCTGAGGTCTCGGCGATACCCATAGCGCTTAGCCTGGAAGACCCTGGACTGAGTGTGTGTGTGTGTGTGTGTGTGTGTGTGTGTGTGTGTTGGGGGGCGGGGGTGGGGGGTGGGAAGGGAGAGAGACAGGAGAAGGGAGGTCCCAGCCCAGGCTCAGGAATGGCGTTTCTGGATCTCGCATTTCTCCTAAGGAGATGGAACACATAGCAGCAGGGGAGGGAGTTCAAGGTCATGGGAGGATTGTCTCAGCAGAAATGAGTGAGCAGTTTTTATGTGGAGCACTGGCGGGCCTCGTCCCTGGGAGGGGACATACCTCATGTGAAATCCTGGCTGTTGGAGTCTCCTCCCTGCTCGTCCCCCCCCCCCCCCCCACACACACACACCACAGGTTACGGGGGGCTCACTTCCAGCCTCAGGGGTGTCTGGTAAGTAGTGAACACTGACCAGTGAAAGGTGTCTTCCCCCAACCTGACTGTGCTGCTCTGTCCACAGCCCGGCCTTCCATTTGCTTCCATCTCGCCTCAGGATCGCACTGGAGGGTAGAGGGACCAGCTCCCACGTGGTCGCCGTCCCGTCACTGCCCAGGGACAGTTCACCCTTTGCGGTGCCTCTGCTTTCCTCGTCTTAACCACAACGTCTCTCTTTTGCCTCCACAGCCACAATGAAAGACGGAACACCTTTCTACACCCAGTGACTGGCCAGGTCCCGGAAGAAAACAAAAAATTTGACTTGAAAACGTAGGTTTGCCCCACTCCCTGGCTGCCCTTTCCATCTTTAGCCACCTTCCCCCACACTTCACCTCCAGGAAGGAGCAGGGAGGAAGGAGGAAAAGAGAGCAAAGGGACTTAGGGCCACTCCCCTCAGTTCTGAGGATGGACACTGCTGAGACCCTTTGAATTGAGTCCTTCGTCCACTTTCCCCAAAACGTAGCAGGTCCTGGGTTGGTGCCTCTCACAGGTTGAGCTAGAGGAATGAGACAGGTCGGAGTTGGGCACACCACCCAGGGGCCTCTGAGGGGAGAGGGGAGGGAATCAGGTACAACCATGGGAGCCAAATGCCAATTCCACTCGCTCTGCATCTTGGCTCAGTGAGGGGAAGAAAAAAGATAATTAAATGACTCTCATAGCGCTGGGCTATTGTGTCTTTTAAATTAAAAGGGAAAGGAGTTCCAGAGTCCTAGGGTTGAGGTTTTTTTGTCTTTTTTAAAAAAAAAAATAAATTCACAGGAAAAAAAGAGGAGACACTGCAGGATTACTGGCAGATAGTCTCAGAAGAGCTGAGGGAGTAACTGCGATGACCTCTTGATAGCACCGAGGGATCTAATTTTGTGCTGATGTTGGAACAGGGGGTGGCAGGGTGGGGACAGGGATGGAGGTTTCCATTGTTTCTCGGTTTTGAATAGTCTCTTTCTTCTCTTCTGGTCAACCTGAAATCAGATCGGCCTTGGACATGTCCAATAAAGCAGGTGGGAAACGCCCGGCTACCACCAACAGTGACATTTCCAACCACAACATGGTGTCCGAGGTCCCTCCAGAGCGGCCCAGCGTCCGGGTGAGTCCAGCCTCCAAGGAAGGCTGTCGGTCAGGAATCCTGGGAAACGCAATAGCCTGTCCAGCTCTGTCTGCAGGCTCCAGTGAGCAGGTGAGGTGCTCGGACCAGAGCCTCACAGAAAACCAGCATCTGCACCAGGGGCTCTCCATCTCGGCACCGTTAGCATTTTGTGTTGGGTAATGCTTTGCGCTGTGGGATGATTCATTATAGGATGTCGAGCAGCATCCTTGGCCTCTACCCACCAGAGGCCAGTAGCACTCACCATGTGACAACCAAAAATGTCTCCAGACATTGTCACGTGACCCCTGTGGAACAAAGTTGCCCCACCCTCATTGAGAACCGCTGATAACTCATGAAGGACATGGCAGTTGAGAGCTCAGAAAGGGAGGAGGAAGGAAGAGGGTCTCCGGAGGAAGAAGTAATCCAGAGAAGAATGTTGCTGAGAGGTCAATGTGATGAGATCTTACTTGGATGAAAACAACCATGGGGCTTAGCAACACTATGGTAACTGGACGCCTGACTAGGGCAGTTCCAGGGGTGTGATGAGGGTGGAAGGGGAGATGGAAAAACACTGAAGAGTAGACACTGTTCTTCTAAGAAACTAGACAATCAGTGGTGGTCTAGTCATGCAATGGAGTTCTCTCCAAAAATTTAACAGACTAGATTTGTATATATACTAATAAAAAAGTAATATGCTAATTAGACTGGGTCGACTGGCCATCTTCCAGACATCTGACTTCCTTCCGGACAAAACCATGGTGGTGCCGGCTGAGGAGTGATCAGGCCGGCAAGGGAGAGCAGTTGCGGGTGAGATTAAGCCGGCAGGAGAGGGCAGTTGGGGGCAAGATCAGGCCGGCACGGGAGAGCAGTTAGGGGTGATCAGTCAGGCAGGCAGGATGACCAGCTCGGAACGATGCTCTGGAAGCTGATGGTGATGAGGACTAAACAGGGGAGATCCGAGGTGCCTCAGGAGAGAGCTGATGCCAGGATGTGGGAGAAGGATGATATCCACGTGACAGTGAGGAGCTAGAACGCTCATGTCCGTGTTCCCAGCCCTGTGGTGTGTTGGACACTGAGAATGCACAGGACTCTGAGAGGATGGTGGTACAGGCAAGGTACATGCAGCCGAGTGGGTTCCAGAAAGCATGATGAGAGAGGAAAGGAGTAAGGACAGTAGCAGAAGGGTAGGCCAGGAGTGAAATGAAAAATCTTACTTTCTCCCAAGGAAACCCCAAAAGGCCCACCGCGGTCAGACAGGCAGGATTATTATCTGAGCCCGATTTTGGAAATAAGAAAAAAAAGTCAGGCTTGGTAACACATCCATGATTCACACGTGGGCCTCCCAGCATGAGGGTGCCTCGGGCTACCCCAGGGCAGTATAACCCAGAGCCGTCCAGCTGCTCCCCTGGCCGGTGGCACGGGAAGCAGGAGAGGGAAGAAGCCAGGCCAGCTTCTCTCTCTGCCTCCCCAGGCCACCCGGACATCCCGAAAGGCCATCGCCTTTGGCAAGCGCTCACACTCCATGAAGCGGAACCTCAACACGCCTGTCACCAAGGCGGGCTGGCTCTTCAAACAGGTGAGGCCCCTCTGCCTTCTGCCCCGTGCCCAGGGCTCTGTCTCCCCTGTAGCACTGTGATTCCTCCGGGCTCACCATAGCCCGCGTCTGTCTTGCTATGTCCTCCCATTGCTCATTTGGTATATCTCTGCGAATAAGTCTGCGGGTGTTATGAACGCTCAGAGAAGTCAAGTATCTTCCCAAAAATCACACAGAAAAAAAATTGGTGTCATATTTGGGAATGCAGCCAGATTTCCTGACGGGCGGGTACAATGATTTTGAAGTGTGCCAGGTCACCCCCCCTCTATGGGAGCAGCCTGTGGGCTCCTCCTCAGCTGGTCCTCTTGCTATGGCAGGGATGGTGTCTCTTTAAGTCTCTGTCCAGCAATTCTCCCCAGTGTCCTTGCCACTGCCCCGGCCTGCCCTCTGCTCACTCATTCTGGCTCATTTCTTGCCCTTTTTATCTCCAGAAGGGGCGGAGGGGGAAGGAGAAGGGAAGCCCAAGATGACAGAACTCAAGGTCACAGGCAATGACCCCATGTCAGGTGCCTGCATCCGGGGTCTCGAGGGGGTTGCTGCTACTTGTCGGTGGGCCGAGCTGCAACCAGAAGCGGGATGTCCTTAAAGTTAGTACTGTGCTCCTCCCGTGACCTCCGCTCCTCCATGCCCCGCTCACAGCCCCTCCGTCTGTCTCTCTCCACGTGCCCCGCAGGCCAGCTCCGGGGTCAAGCAGTGGAACAAGCGCTGGTTCGTCCTGGTGGACCGCTGCCTCTTCTACTACAAAGGTGAGCCTGCCCCAGGCCTGCGGGGGCGAGGGCCCACCACCCTCCCATTCTGCCAGACCGCCACCAGCAGGGCACCTACTGGCTGGAGTGTGTATGCTGCTCTGCCTCCTGTCCCGCGGGCCCCGCGATCCAGTCCAGGAAGGCAGCGGGTCTTGTCCATTGTGTTCAGCACAGGCTTAGCAGGTGCTCCGTCTACGTGGAATAGGCGCATAGTCCCAGCTTCTGCCCTCTTGGTCCACCCAGCACTCACTCCCGACCCTCTCCAAAGCGGAGGAGGGCAAAGATCTGACAGCATGGGTGCAGCAACCTCGAGGAAAGTGCTTTTAAAAAGGACACAGCAACCCTGTCTCAGGGGTGCACAGAGGGAGCGAGCAGGGTGGTGACGGCGTGGTCCTGTTGCCCTGGCACAGGGCACAGGGTGGAGAAGGGTGAGATGTCTTTGCAGCAGAAGGGGCTATGCCCCTTTCCTTCGCGCCCCTCTGTGCCCCCCCATGCCCTCCATGCCCTGGGAATGGCAGAGCCCAGACTCCTCTGGGCCTTCCTGGAGCAACTCGGTGAATCATTAACTTTGGCAAACAAAAGCTGTACCCAGTGACACGCACCCTCCCCAGTGCTGCTATTCTTGTGCCCCGAGCTGCTGCCACCTGAGCTCTGAGGAGAGAGCAGGAAGGGGCTGTGTATACAGGTCGGGTCACAGAAGAAACCCTGAGCTTGGGGCAGAGGAATCTGCCCAGGCTGGGCCTCCAGGACACAGTGTGAACAACGTTGGGAGAAGCCAGGATCTCCTCAGAGGAGAGACTCTGGGCCTGGCCTGAGAGAAGAACCTTAAACATCTGTACATGTCCAAGGGCACTGCTCTGGGGGTCCCTGTCCACTGAGGTGCTCTCAGGAGACCCCCTGAATGCAGACCTGGGCAGTACCAGGCAGAGCCGTCTCCTCCAGGGGCTGCTTTCCTGGTCTCCAGGCCTGGTCCCTCCTGCTCCTCTGGCTTAGCCCTCCTCCGGGTACCACGCTGAGGTCTGCACAGGAGGCTGGACGCTGGGCCAAGTCCCTGGTGCCAGTGAGGAGTGAGAGGAGAGGGGGAACTAGTGGAGGTTATGAGCCCTAAGAGATTTTTCCTGAACTCTCTCTGGGGGTTTTGCAGCATCTCCAGCCCAGGGCATAGGAGCTGTTCTGGGCAAGTGGGGAGTGTCTTGCCATGGCCTCTTCGCGCCCCCCCATCCTGTCCCACAGAACACCCCGCCCTCCGGGCCTCCTGCTGACAGCTGGGTGCCCGACTAGCTAATCCGTCAGGCTCCTCTGGAGATCCAGGATGAATTATGCAACAGGCTGGTGGTTAGCCTGATGCAGGGACCAGAGGGCCAGGAGGCCATGCAGGGGCAGGAGAGCCCTGAGACAGAGATGTAGAGAGTGTGCATGTGCGTGTGCCTCAGGAAGGGACAAAGCAAGCTGCTGGGTGCTGGGGGGAACCTTAGATACAGTTCCCCAGAGGAGCCAGACCACAGAGGGCACCGTCCACGCCCCCACACCCCATCCCGCCATTCTGCTGTGTATGTGAGACGCTGGAACAGTCTAGTGCTGGGCAGGCACTGTGCCCGGTGGAGGGGTTAAGAATGACAGCGTGGGGGTCAGACTCCGGGGTTCAAAGAGCAGCCCGCCACTTCCTACTTAAGTCACATTGGACAAACTGCTTAACTTCTCCGAGTCTCAGAAAACGGGGATAACAGCAGCCCCTGTTCACGGGCCTGTTGAGAGGGTTCAGCTCAGGAAGGCATTTCCCTGGGGACAGTGTCTGACGTAGACCAAGGAGCTCTATTGGTTTGCCTGCTTGTGCACTAGAATGTCAGCTCCCCGAGGGTGGGGCTGCTGCCCTGTCGGACTCCTGTCTCCTCTCCTGTACACACACACACACACACACACACACACACACACACACGCATACACACGCCTACACACGCGTACACACATGCGCACGCACCTCACCTGCCTCTGTTTCCTGACAGATGAGAAGGAGGAGAGCATCCTGGGCAGCATCCCCCTCCTGAGCTTCCGGGTGGCTGCAGTGCAGCCCTCTGACAACATCAGCCGAAAACATACCTTTAAGGTCAGTTGGCCGGAAATCCCTCTCCCAGGTCAGATGGGGGCGGGGTGAGGGTGGGGGGCCGTCCTCCTAGAGCACAGGGGGGTGGAGAAGGGTCCAGAGCCACCTTCCGAGGAGTCGGAGTGGTAGTGAGGAAGCGAGTGGGCAGTGCCCTGGGCTCCATGCAGGCTTCCTGAGGCTAAGCAGGGGCCGTGCGGGACCCCGTCCTCTGTCCCGGGGGTTGGATGGGTGACCTCCCCAGGGCAGGCCAGTAGAGGGGTGCTTCAGTGGCATCCAAGTTTTTTCCTGGGAGGCTGGAGGAGCGTATCACTCTGTTAGGATAAATAGCGATGCATGTAGCCCATTGTTTTCTGAGCCTGGGGACCCTCTGCCCGGCGGCCAGGCACCTGGCAGCGAGGCAGGGCATGGGCTGGAGGGAGGCTGAGGTTCTTTCTGGAAAGTCTTCCTTCCCACCGTGGGCCCAGGAAACCAGACCTACAGCAAACTGAATGGCATTGCAGTCTTTAGAGGAAATCGGGGGTTGAGTTTCATTATAATCAAGAGCAGCAAACCTCATGGAGGCAGTTGGAGAGAGTGAGTGTGCTCAGCTGCCCACTCAGCACGCTCCCCAGAGCCCCCTGGGGACCAGCCCCTCAGAGGCTGCAGCTGGCTCCTCCGAGGCAGGGCTTGTTCATGTTTAAAAATGCATGACCTGGTAAACACGATTTTGGTATTTTATGATGACAAGGCTCTAGATTCCTTTCCCTTTTCCAAACATGAAATTGTGCTGCCGCCCGTGTGTTTTCTCAGCACCAAGCCCCCTCTCCCAGTGCAGAGTCGCTGCCCAAGGCCCTGCAGCCCCAAAGCTGAGCTGGCAGGTATGGGGTCACCTGCAGGTCACCCCAGGTCAGGACCCGAGCCTCCGAGTCCACCTCTTCCTGTCCTTCCCCTCGAGCCTCCGAGAGGCGAGGGGCGGTGGGCCGCACACACAGGTGCTGCTCTGGGGACATGGAGGGGCTTCCCTGGCACATAATTAGTTTCCAGCCCCCCGGGGTCCTGGCTGCTGGAGGTGTGAACAGAATGAACAATTAATAAAGCTCAGGCTCCGGGGAGCCGGCTCTCGCTGTGGAAACAGGGCCGGGCTGTTGAGCCAACAGCAGACGCGCACGCCCACACAGGCAGACAGCCTGTCACCCGCCCGTGTGACAGACACGTGTGCAGACGCGTGCTCGGAGCTCTGCCGGCCTCAGAGGAACACTGATGGCTGGCACCCCCACCACACACCCCAGATCTCATTGCTGTGCCTTCACCGCCCTCCTCCCTCCCCGTCCCCCAAGGAGCTCGTGCCTCTTTAAGCCAATGGGAGACCAATGCTCCGTGGCCACAGAGGGCTCCAACCCCAGCTGTTCAGAGGCCCCTCCCCAGGGGAGGGAGGGCTGCGGGCACAGATGGAGGCTTGTCCCGCTGTGGCCACCAAACGAAACTCTTGGGTGGCTGATAATGAGCTTGACTGTCCCTGCCTGGCCCCCTACTGAAGGCGGGACCTCTTCCTGCCCCAGCCCCAGCCACGAGGGGCTTGGTGGACCTCACCCCACTGGGGCGCCTCCCTCCATTCTCTGGTCCCCCTTTCTGGCTCCAGGCGGGTGTTCCTCCCACTGCCTTTCAGCCGCCCTGCCTTCCCCAGGCCCTCTGCCCCCCTCCCTGTCCCCAGCAGCTGTTCCCTGGCCCTTGCTCCCTCCTCGTTTCCCAGGGGGCTTGTCCTGTCCTCCAGCTTGACCTTGACTCTTCAAGTGCAAAGAGCATGCCTTTGCCTTCCCTGCACCTGGTGCCTGAGCAGTGCTCTGCTCTTGGAGGGTCACAAGATGCTGAGCGTTAAGCTCACTCGCTGCCCACTCCTACCAGCCCCGGGACACACCCAGGGTCCCGCCCGCGTCCCTCCTCTGCGACACCCGTGTTCTCCACCGCAGAGGGCTCGCCTCGGCCCTGGTCACCAAGTCCCTGTGTAGTTCAGCCCCCAGACACCTCCTCACAGCTTCGCTGCCTTTTCCTCAGCACCTCCCTGCCTCTGCGGATGTGCTGCCCCTGCTGAGGGTGGGGATGGGGAGGGTCCAGGGGCAGGAGGACCAGCCCTGCCCTCACTGAGTACAGGGATGTGTCCTCGCTGGGTACAGGGATGTGCCCTCGCTGGGTACAGGGATGTGTCCTCGCTGGGTACAGGGATGTGTCCTCGCTGGGTACAGGGATGTGTCCTCGCTGGGTACAGGGATGTGTCCTCGCTGGGTACAGGGATGTGCCCTCGCTGGGTACAGGGATGTGCCCTCACTGGGTACAGGGATGTGCCCTCGCTTGGTACAGGGATGTGCCCTCGCTGGGAAGGGCTCCTGCCAGAACGGCGTCCTGTGCAGCGGCAGGGGCCGTGGCAGAGTGCGTGGCCGCCGGGAGAGCGTTCGGAGGGTGTGGGTTTGACTTTGCTGCTCAGGAGAGCCCTGGCACATGGTCAGAGGAGCCCCGTCTTCTCTCCTGTCAACACCCAGAGCACCCAAGGGGTCAGAGGGCCAAGGGAGGTCCCCTTCGGAGACTTAATCATGTCTGGATCCCATGCGGGGTGGGAGAAACGTGCTTTCCCTGGGAGACCTGGGTCTCACCTGGCGGGGGGGGGGGGCGGGGGGGTTGCTGAGGTCCCACAAGGACTCTAGCCTGGAGCTTCTCATCCTTGGGCCCAAGAATCTCGAGTTTCACCAATTAGACCCCCCTCACCCCTCTGCCCCATTCCCCAGACCAGAGCTAGGCAGGAACAGAGGGAGGGTTAGTCCTAGGAATCCTCTCTCCACCAGGCCGGATTCCCTGGTGCAAGCTCTGCGCTCCCCCTCCTGGCAGGCTGAGCTGGCATTGCTGGGCGCTGTGGTCCCAGTGGTAACCCCGAGCAGGAGGGGATTGTTGGAATAGCCTCCGCTTCCTCCCCTCCTCCCCACTCCCGCCATGTGCTCTCTGTCTCTCCCTCTGGTGTTTGGTTGACCTGTTCTCTGCTCTCCTCCTCCTGACTGCGTGAGGACCCTCCTCTGGACAGGACCTTCCTTCTGGGTTCCCGCCCGCCGCACCTGCTCGTGGCCGCCGACTAGGTAGCGTGCTCTGCCTGCATGCATGCCCCTTGCATGCCAGGAGAGGGCCAGGCCATCTCTGCACGGAAGAGGCAGAGCTGGCTTCTCAGAGACCCAGGGATCTCTCCCAGACTTTGGCTAATTGCCCTTCAAATCAAAGATAGAATCCGATGGGTGCGCGGGCATGGTAATTGTCCTTCCTGCTTCTAATCACCACAGGCGGGGCAGGTGAGCTCGCCCGGGCTGCCCCGTGGTGTCCAGAGAGCTAGCCAGGCAGGCACCTGGCACCCACTGGAGCTCTTGGGGTACCCGTGGGCCACCTTCCTCCCCTTGCCCACGTGGGAAGAAGAGCTGCAGGCCCCAGGAGCGGCCCTCCTAACCACCTGTTCCGTGGGGACGGTGTCTTCTCCCTACAGGTGACCGTGTGCTGGGTGGACGAGGCCGGGGCCAGTTCCACGCACTGCCTCTCCCCGCAGGCCGAGCACGCCGGTGTCCGCACCTACTTCTTCAGCGCCGAGCGCCCCGAGGAGCAGGAGGCCTGGATCCAGGCCATGGGCGAGGCTGCCCGTGTGCAGATCCCCCCAGCCCAGAAATCCGTGCCGCAAGCTGTGCGCCTCAAGTGAGTGCCAGGGTCCAGGGCCTCGGTGGGGGGAGTGCTAGAGAGAGGAAGAGAGAGGAAGGGCCCCGCTCGATGCCATCGCCGAACCCGGTGTGCTGGCGGGAGCACAGAGCAGGGTGCCGGGCGAGGCCATCTCAGAGCTTGTGGTCTGTTCCCCTGGCCGGCTCTTCCTCTGCTCTCCGAGCCGGTGGAGGCCAAGAGAAAGCCGGGTTCCGGTGGGGCCTGGCCAGGAGCCAAAGGCCAGGGTCACTTGCTCAGTTTTTCTGGGCTGTGCAGGTGAGGCTCACAGCCTTTACGGAAAGTAGACCCGGGTTCGAATCCCAGCTTGGTCACGTACACAGTGTGACCTTCATGTAAGTGGCTTCACCTCTGTGGACCTGGGCTTCCTTTCCTCAGAGGCAGCAATCATGAGGACTAGCCAGTATGCAGAGTGCTGGGATGTCATGAGCACTCAGCACATGGTTGTGCCCGTCACGTGAGCACTCAGACATGGCTGTGCCCATCACGTGGGCACTCAGCACATGGCTGTGCCCATCACGTGGGCACTCAGCACATGGCTATGCCCATCACGTGGGCACTCAGCACATGGCTGTGCCCATCACGTGGGCACTCAGCACATGGCTGTGCCCATCACGTGAGCACTCAGCACATGGCTATGCCCATCACATCCCCAGCTGCAGTCTAGGCGTCTGTCTATCCTAGACCTGGTGTTGAGTAGATATTAACGGGCATCCAGAAGGAGGTGTCACAGTGCAGACTGCAAGTCTATGCACATGCCTGAGACATGTTGACCAAGCAATGTCTTAACACCAACGCTTGGATGTGTTGAATTTGAGAAACTCTAAGGAGAATATTGTCATGAGATTCCACCTCAGCAGGGCTGTCCATTTGAGTTTGGCATCTGCTCTGGGATAGCATTCTTCCAGGGGTTCGCTCATCATTTCATAAGCATCTGCTAGGAATAGCAATGTGTGTGGTACTCAGTCAGGTACTGGGAAGACGAGTTCCTGCCTTGTGGAGCTTATATTCTGACAAGAAGTCAGTCCCGGGAGAAGCTGGCTTTGGGAAGGGAGCTAGCATGTCTCCATGCTGTGCAGTTTGAGGCCACAGCTTCTGCCCGGGGCCTCCGTAGTGTGGCCCCACCCGGGTCCCCAGGGAGGCATGGTGCTGAAGGGAGTGGAGTGGCCTGCGGGAGACCTGGAGGGCAGAGAGAGACGCCCCGGCAGATGGGATGACTTTTTCTAATCATTGGGCAACAGAATTGCAATGTATTATAGTAAAGTCGGCTCCCATTGCTACCTTTCTGCCCATCCTCCTCCCCTCCCTTCCTCCCTCCAGTGTACCACCCCCCACCCAGCTCTGTGCGGGGCTGGGATCTCTCACGCCATCTCCCTTGGCACCCTGCAGCCACGAGAAGCCGGACTTGGAAAACACACCACCCAGCAAACACCACCAGCAGCAGCCCCCTCACAACAGCTTCCCCAACCCTGAGCCCGAGGCCAAGACGCGAGGGGAGGGCGACGGCCGAGGCTGCGAGAAGGCAGAGCGGAGGCCCGACATCCAGAGCGAGCCCCTGGCGAAAGCCAATGGCATCCCAGCTGGACCGGAAGCAGCCTCAGAGCCAAGCAGCCCTTACCCTGCTGGCCCGAGGGTCCCCGGGGGCGGCGAGCGGCCCCCCCAGCCCAATGGCTGGCAGTACGGCTCCCCGAGCCGGCCGGGGAGCACGGCGTTCCCACCTCAAGACTCAGAGAGCGGGGGGCGCCGGCCGAGCTTCCCCCCACACGCCAACCCCGACAAGATCGCCCAGCGCAAGAGCTCCATGAGCCAGCTCCAGCAGTGGGTGAACCTGCGTCGGGGGGTGCCTCCCCCCGAGGACCTTCGGAGGTGAGGCCTGCGGGGGGGGGGGGGGGGCGGGGGCAGGGGGCTGGGGTGCTGTGCCACTGAGGGCGGGGCTGGGGGAGTAACAGGAGAGGCACCCCCTGTTGGAAACCTTCTGGAAGCCAAGAAAGCCCCAGGGTCCCCGCTTGGCCAAGTCCTTTGCTGCCCCCATGGCTCCCTCGGCCGGATCTTGCTCTCTATCTGCGTCCTTTGGAGGAAGGGACAGAGCACCCAGTGTCTCTGCACTGGGTGTGGGGGGGCCCAGGAAGCAGGCAGGCAGTTTAGGAGGGTCCCAGTCAGACATCTGCCCCCGGGCTTCTGGCCCCCCTACAACATCCTGTGTGTCCGCGTCGCTGCCAGCAGGAGGCTCGTGGTCACCGGCCACGCCCAGCCCCATCCCTGGACGGCCCTGACTGTGTGAGAGCCGCTGTTTATGGGCCGCTTTTCAAAAGAGAAAAGAAACAAAGTGTTGCCACTCATTGACCCCGGTTCTGCCCTCTGTACCAACCGACTCTTTTCTCGAGGGACTGGCTTTCAAACACGGGGAGGTTCTCACTGGGCCCGGGGCCGGGCAGTGTGGGCAGCCGGGCAGCGCGGGCAGGGGCTGCTCCCTGCTGGTGGGCTGGCGCCGGCTGCCGCCCTGCCCAGAGAGCGAGGCCTCCCTTGGCTCAGGTCCCATCGGAACGGGAGCCTCGCTTTGTTCCTCCGTGCCCTCCCCCTGTGCCCGGGGCCCTCACTCTCCTCTGAGCACCTCCCCGGACAGGATCTGATAGATCCACTCGGAGATAGAGGAGGCTAATGGGGCTTCCAGTTTCTCTCGGGGGCATTGCATTTGAAGAGACAGCGATGGGCCGAAACCGGTTTGGCTCAGTGGATAGAGCGCTGGTCTGCAGACTGAAGGGTCCTGGGTTCGATTCCGGTCAAGGGCATGTGCCTTGGTTGCGGGCACATCCCCAGTAGGGGGTGTGCAAGAGGCAGCTGATGGATGATTCTCTCTCATCGATGTGTCTAACTCTCTATCCCTCTCTCTTCCTCTCTGTAAGAAATCAATAATATATATATATTTTTTGTTGTTGTTAAAAAGAGAGAGACAGCGATGGAAGCTCAGGGAGCTGGTTGAGGGAGGAGCTCAGAGGACGGGGTCTTCCCTGAACCACTGGACACAAACCTGGTGCCCGAGCTGCTCCCAAGGCCAGCCCGAGGCACCCCTCACGCGATCACCCCCTTTCCCGGCCCCCCTCCAGGCTGGAGGGCTCAGGGATGTGGCTGGGCAGGGCCGGGCCCGCTCTGTCCCCGTCTTACACCGTCCTCTCCTCCCTCAGCCCCTCTAGGTTCTACCCCATGTCCCGCAGGGGCCCCGAGTACGGCGGCCCCTACTCCTCCCAGTTCCCCGACGATTACCAGTACTACCCGCCGGGCGTGCGGCCGGACAGCATCTGCTCCATGCCCGCCTACGACCGCGTCAGCCCGCCCTGGGCCCTGGAGGACAAGCGCCTCTCCTTCCAGCGCAACGGCTGCGGGTGGAAGGAGCCGGCCGGCTACGGGCGGCAGGACGGCGGCGCCGTCTGGATCCCCAGCCCCTCCCGGCAGCCCGTCTACTACGACGAGCTGGACGCGGCCTCTGGCTCGCTGCGCCGCCTGTCCCTGCAGCCTCGGTCCCACTCGGTGCCCCGCTCGCCCAGCCAGGGCTCCTACGGCCGCCCCCGCCTCTACTCGCCCGTCCGCTCGCCCAGCGCCCGCTTCGAGCGCCTGCCGCCCCGCGGCGAGGACCTCTACGTGGACCCCACCGCCTACGTGATGCGCCGTTCCATCAGCTCTCCCAAGGTGAGCCGCCCGCCAGCCTGCCCCCATTCTCACCCCCGGGAGGCCCCCAGAAGCCCCCCGCTGAGAAGAGGGGGCGATGCGGGGGCATCTGGTGGGACATGGGGGACACTGGGCTGCCCTGTTGACAGGGGAGCCCCTGGCCCTAGGGTTCGGTCCCCAGGAGAGCTGCCCCGGGGGACGTACTTGGCTCCCCAGCCCCCCTAAGTAGGAACGATGCTTTCTTTCCTTCTTTTTTCTTTCTTTCTTTCTTTTTTTTTTTTTTTTTAAATATATTTTATTGTTTTTTTTACAGAGAGGAAAGGAGAGGGAGAGAGAGCTAGAAACATCGATGAGAGAGAAACATTGACCAGCTGCCTCCTGCACATCTCCTACTGGGGATGTGCCCGCAACCAATGTACATGCCCTTGACCGGAATCGAACCTGGGACCTTTCAGACCTCAGGCCGATGCTCTATCCACTGAGCCAAATCGGTCTCAGCAGGAACATTGCTTTCTGTGCCCAGGGCCAGATTATGCCGGGATCCCTCATTCTCTGTAAGAGGGCGGCATGGCGCTGGTGTCCAGACCTGCAGGACTAAACAGATCATGGCCAGGATCTCGCCCTGGAGATTGCTAAGGTTGTCCCTTTTAGTTCGGAGTCTGCTCCGGGACAGGATGCAAATATTTCCTAACCTTGGACGTCAGTTGGTGGGGAAGTCTGAGTCCCAGCCAGACCCTCTCACCTCTCCAACCCCCTTTCTCTTCCAGTATGATTACCTGGGAGACAGGCGGCCAGTCCCTGCAGGGCTGTACCCCTACAACTACCCTCCACCCCCCACGGTTCACGATAAGATGGTACGTCCTCTCCTCCCCGACACTCCGCTCAGGGCGGCTCCCCCCGGGAGGGCTCTGTGCCCCCTGCCTGGCCCGTGTGGTTGTTAGGAGCCTCTGGATACCTCCTTCCTCCCCCGGCCAGGGCTCTGACCCCAGCTGAGTTGGGTGCCAGAGGCCCCTTCTCGGTGACGCAGGCAGAGACGCAAGGGCAGGTCTGGAACATTGTGATGTCGTTCCTGAGCCTCTGGCCTCACAGCAATCCTGCAGCTCGTCCGGGGCCCTGGACAGGAGCTCGGATTGCATGCTGGAAGCCTTTCGGGCTAGAACTCCCAGCAGGCACAGCCCTCCGGCCTGTCCCCCTATCGCACCTGCTTCTGCCCGTCCTGGCCTGGCATGCCGCTCTGGGGAAGGAGGCTGGCAGGGCTGGGGGGAAAAGAGATGTCCCATATGGTTTCCTCGTTCCTCTCCCTCTGCTGTGTCTTTTCCTAAGACATTTTGTCTTCCCCTGGAGAACCAGAACTGAGGGGCAGGCGGAACCCTCACCCCCCAGGCCTGCTGCTGTCCCCCTTCTGCACAGCACCCGGAGGCCAGGGTGGAGGAGGCCGGGCCGGGAGGACGGAGCCTCCGTATCCTCTCCTCCTCTGCCAACGTCCAAACCTCAGCCAGACCCACATGAATGCGCCTACCCAGAGCCAGGAGATTTCCCCAGAAAACTGGGCAACCTCTGCAGGAGGTGCTGACCAGGTGACTCAGTGGCTCTTCCTCACCCGAAAGAGCACGCCGACCAGGGCCCCCCAAGGAGCCCCCATGTCTCTCCATGGCTGGCTTGGGCGCCTGCCCTCACACTCACCCCTCACCCCCTTCCCCAGGACTCCATGGCAGAGAGGCCTCCTGTCCTTGCCCAGCTAATTCTTAACTGCTTTGCTTCCTTTTTATTGTTTTCTTTTGTCCTGTTCCTGTTTGTTTGTGTTGCCGTTGGGCCTCGGGTTCCACGGGTAGGATGAACTGTTAGACCTTCAGTTGCAAAGAAACCTAGAGTATTTGGATCAGCAGGTAGGCAGAGCTGGTGCCCCCTCGCCACCCCTGCTCCTGTCCCTTCCCCCGCTCCTTCCCGCCTCCTCCCCGCCTCCTCATCCTCCATCCATCGCACAACCTTTGTTGGCACAACCAGGACACAACAAAGTGGCCTATATTTTGGTTTGCGCCTTCACATCCCTTCCCTTCTGAGCTCTTTAGGGCAGCTGGGAGTTTCCCGGGGAGAGGAGAATGTAAATGACTCCATGAATAATTAATGCCACCTCCTGTTTGTTCAGCCAGATGGGCCTGCCCCCGGGGGCAGGCAGGGATTTGCATCTCTGCTGGGGAGAGTAGCACCATGAGATGCTTGGGCCTAAAATGCTAGGGTTTAGTTCAGTGGGACTCTGGGAAATTGTCCTGTTAGACTGCAATTCGCAAACAGATGGCAGCCATGTCCTGGGATGGCTTAAAAACTCTATCGATTCAGTGTATTTGTGGTTCACATACACACACAGCGTACGTTTTCCTGCGAATTCACTAGGGTGGACAGAGGGAGTCGTTTCAACCCAGATTCCCGGATGAGTGTCCTGAAGAGGCAGTGACGGTTCCCATGGGATGGAAGCGATGGGCTGCCTGGGCCGGGCTCCAGGGCGCTCTGCCCATTGGCCACCTGGCTTTGTAGGCTCAGGGGGCTGTGGCACTCACAGCCAGGGGTCAGCACGCTGGGCATTTCTCTGAGCACATCCTCTCATGCTAGATCTGTGCTACAGATCATGGGAGGAAGCCTGGGGTGGTGGGGAAAATCATAAAGGTAGTAATAGCGACAGCAATGGCCGCAACTACCAGAATCAGGTGCTTCCTCTGTGCTTTGTGCTATTCTAAGCACTACACAGAGCCTAACTCATTTAATATATATATATTGATTTCAGAGAGGAAGGGAGAGGAAGAGGAAGAGAGAGGTAGAAACATCAATGATGAGAGGAAATCATTGATTGGCTGCCTCCTGCAACTCAGGCATATGCTCTTGACTGGAATTGAACCTGGGACCCTTCCATCCACAGGCCAACGCTCTATCCACTGAGCCAAATCGGCAAGGGCTTAACTCATTTAATCTCGATAGAAACCCTGCAAGGGGTGGGGGGTGCTGTGAGTCTCCCCTTTTATAACTGGTAAAGCTAAAGCACAGAGAGGCTAGACGTGGGCTGAGGGCACTCAACTGGTGCATGGCAGAGCGTGGACTAGGGTTCTGAGCTTTGACCTAGTTTACAGCTGCGGAAACATCTAGTAAATGAAGAAGCTCAGGTCACACCCCATCGGGATGGTGGTGTGCTCTCGGGGCTGTCGAAAGAAGCAGTAGCACGCCATCAGAGGTGGTAACTATGGTTCTGGTCACAGCACGTGACAAGCACCTCACTGGGCCTCGTGTCTTCGTCACTCATCTCGCAGGAGGCCTTGGGCATGGGAAGCGCTGACCCCTGCATGTCAGTCAGCGGGGAAGGCAGTTAGTTCCAGAAAGCAGCCCTGTGTTGTCCAGTCCCTGGGGGTGTCCAGTCCATGGGTAACTGGGAGGCCAAGCCTGAGCAGGCCTGGAAGCCCTGACCCCTAGCCCCAGAGCTGGCTCTGCTGTGCCCTGGACCCACCCACAGAGCCTGGCTGTCCGGTTAATCCGTGCAGACAGCAGGCCTCTGCAGGGGCCTCTCTCCTCCCAGAGGGGCGAGGCTTCAGAAATAACCTTTCAGAGTTGTCCTCCGCACTAAACAGATATCCTAGGTATTCTTAAGAGGCAGTGTGACAAGATAAGCGCCCCAAACCCAGAGCTTCAGCTCCACCTCTGTCATTTACAAGGAGTTTTGCTTTGTTGTTGTTCTTTACCTTGAAAACGTCACTAGTCTCTCTGGGCCTTTGTTTTCTCAATAATAAAACAGTCATCAGAGAAGCTGCCACCCTGCCTCCCAGAGGCATCCTGGGAGTCGAGAAAGAATGCATATGAGAGCCTGTTATCAGGCGTTGGCAATAAGTGGTAATTGCTGTTCTGGTTATTTTATTGTTCTTTTTCCTTCTAAAACTCAATTTCAAATATTACTGAGAGCCCTTATTATGTATAAGGCACTGGGCTAGGTGCTCTCTCTTATGTGTAAGATACTGGGATGGGTACCATCTTCTGTCTCTCTAGACTCCTGGGTACCATCCTCAGAGAGACAGAGTCTAGAGAGACAGAGGATGGTACCCAGGAGTCTTCCTAGAGACAGGCCCCTCCTGGGCTGAAAGAGCTCCAGTCACACCAGGGTGGGTACAGGCCTGGGTGGGGCCAGTCCTGCTTCTCTCCTTCTTCTCCAGATCCGCTGGCTGAGGGGGGGAGAAGCGAGGGGAGGGCTGTGGGGGGATGAGACCAGTGCATGTCCAGGAAGGGCCTGGCCTCCCTGCCCTCTCACAGCCGATGTATTGGTAGAGCTGCCTTGTCTTCCATACACACAGGACACAGGCATGACGTATAGGTAGCTCATGTCAACATACACCCATGTGAATACCCCATGCACAGTAGATACAATATACACCCACACAGATTCTTAGAAGACAATGATCAATTCTAGTTCAGATCCTTACAATGTGGTTGATGTCCTGGTGACTTACCTATTTCACAAAGACTCAACCTTATGTCATAATCGCTGTTTTGAAAATCTTTTAAGTGACATGTTATGCCATAGAAAAAATTTCCAATTAGGCTAGGGAGATCGAAAAATCAGATCGTCAAAAAGCCTTTTAAAATGCTGTAGGACCTGCCCGTCACCCATCCACAGCACACAGAAGCAATGCCAAATTTGGACTGCCACCCAAATGGTACAAGGAACATACACGTGGGTCCGATACAGATTGGAAAGACGGGGGCAAACATGGGGGACCTCCCGAACTGGGAACCCAGAAGATCTGCCCTAAGGTGGCCCTACCCCTCCCCTTCCTCACTTCGCCTCCCTAAACAGCTTTTCCCGTGCTCCTCCCCTCTGCTGCCTACCCCTGCAGATGCATTGAGTTAAAGGGACATAGCCAAGGACGCTCCCTAATAGGCTCACTTTTTGATGCCATCCCCCTGGATCCAGTGGGGGAAATGATGGCATTTCTGATTAATTTGTTTGGCTCGTCCCCCCTCTTTCCCTCCATCCCTCCCTCCCTTGCCTTTCTTACTTTTTCATTTGTCAAATAGTCTCCTCCCCTACCCCCATGTCCCCAGTGATCCCTGAAACAGGAGATAACGTGTTGGGAGAGCGGTGTTCCAATACCTGGTGTCCCTTTAACATGGCTTGCTTGTTTTGGCCTCCTTATTTGCTCCCTAGCGTCATCCAAGACCGGCATGGATGCTACCAGCCCAGCTCTGGAAACCATGTTTAGCAATCCTTCCTACTCTAGAGCCAAGAGGTGGGCAGGGGCTGGGGAGAGAGGCCTCGGTGTTTGGGAAGGCCTGCCCAGAGGCAGCTGCTCTTTCCAGTGGTTTCATTTAGTCCAAATGGTGGGAGACTGGCCTTTGCAACTGCCAGTGTGGTCTTTGACCAAAGCAGTGTGCGAAAAGCGAGCGCGCTGGGGCCAGGAGATGACCCACTTGACCCACGTGGGCGAGACCCATCATACTCAGGCCCCCTGGGGCAGCGGTCCTTGGGCCGGGACATCTCAGAGCTGTGAGCAAGGGCGCAGGGACCTCCCCGCTCCCTCCTGTGGCCTTCCCTCGGGGCAGCTTCAGAGCTGGTGCTGAGAGGGAGTTCACAGAGGAAGAGTGATGGGTGAGGCCAACTAGAGAGCAACGAGAGGGTGCTGGAGCCCCCAAGAGGGCCTGCCCCCCCCTCCCCCCTGTTCCGTGTCCTGGCAGGCGAGCGCAGGAGGGTGTGGGGAAGGTCTCTCTCTCTGTGAGTCTGAGTGTGAATCGTCCGTTCCTCCCTCTGCTGCAGATGAGTGAGAGTGAGACTCTCATCAGTATGGTGAACCGCATGGTGGAGAGCTCCTCTCCCAGGGCCCAACTCTTCATGCAAGTAAGACCTCTGCTGGCAGCATGGGCCCTGTCAACACCGTGTCAGCTGCTTGTGCATGGTCCAGTCACCCCACGGGGATGGGGCTTGCCCCGCCCAACCCACTCATCAGCCGGGCCTCAGCTCCCAGGCTCCGCCCGGTCTCCCTCCTTCAACGCCACTGTGTTCCCTTCATTCTTCATGTTCACGGGCAAACCCACGTCCCATCTCCCAAACCATCAAAATAGCACCGACATCTCATGCCTGCCAGGGTCCACGGATCTGCTCTTTAATGCTTCTATTTTGTATTTGGCATCTTCTCCGCAGACATTGCTGGGGGTGAGGGCGTGGGTGTGTGATAGGGAACCATTCAAAGCCAGCGGTGTGAAAAGGGCGCTGTGGTTGCCGGATGCGTCACGGAGGGCAGGGAGCATGTGCCGGACCCAGAGACACTTCTGTGTGTGTATCAGTCCTGGTTGAGGCACCAGCCCTCTGACTGGTATTCAGTCCCCTAGGTCAACACGTCTCAAGTATTTCCAGTGCTCGTTCCATTCTCCCATGCCTGACCCTCAAACACAGCTGAAGGGTAACTGTTGCTCTCAGGGTTGTTACCAACAAGCCCTTTGGAAGCTACACACGCTTGGAGTCCCTCTCAGCAGTAGGTCCTACAGCTTTGGGAAGAGGAGACAGCCAGAGCTGAGCAGCGCCTCTCCTAGAATGGGCTGGGACAATAGGGATGGAGCCTAGACCAGGCCGTCCCAGGCTTCCCTGCCAGAGGACAGAAAATTAGCTCAGCTCAGGGGCCCAGGTGGAAGCTACCAGAGGTGGTGTACGATGGTTTCTGGCCAAAACGGAGCAAGGGCTGTCGCTTTCCCACCTCCACACGCCCTCTGTGCCCTGCTGCCGTAACCGGCCTCGTGTTCCTGCAGGTCCCTCCGTACCCAGAAGTGTTCCGGGACAGCGTCCACACCTACAAGCTAAACGAGCAGGATACGGATGTAAGAGCAGCGCTCCTGCTCCCTCTGTCCACTCCACCCCTCCTGCTGCTGTTCTCGTCCTCAGCTCCTCCATCCATCTCTCTCCTCGCCGCTCTTCACACACGCGACTCATGTTCTCTCTCCCTGCAAAGACCACATTCTTCCTGTCCCTCCTCACCCCCCTTCTTTTCTCCTTCTTCCCCCTCCCCCTGCCTCCCACTCTGGCTGTGCATTTCCCCCTGAGCCCGAGGCCCCGTGTTTCCAGCAGTGGGATCTGCTTCCTGCAGGGGCTCAGACTTAGTCCCTAGGTAACTGCCAAGAAGAACATGGCTGTGCCCCAGCCCTCTGGGAGCCTCAGGGTAGCGGCAGACACCAGGGGCCAGCAGGTGGCAGCATATGATTCCTATACGAACAGCCCGATAGCAGGTTCTGCAGGAGTGAGACCCTGTGGGCTGGTGGGTCAGGGTCAAAACAGGTGGCATGTGAGCTGGCCTTGAGCTAGCAGACGCAGAGGGCACAATCTGGTTCCAGGGGAAGGAGCTGCAGGGGTGTCTGAGGAACATCATGAACAGAGCTGAGCGCACAGAAAAACACAAGTCTTTCCGGAGGAGAAGTTTGGCCCCGCCTGCTTTCTCCCCAGCTCCCCTGGCCTTGTCTGGGGAGCAGATCCGCCCAGCAGGCCTGGGAGAGGTTCCATCCAGGCAGGGACCAGACCTCTGAGGGACCCCAGCATCAGCCAGCCTGAGACCCTGGAGAGGGGAGGGGAGAATAGGTGGTGGGGTCCATGGAGCCCATTTACATTGTTTGCTGGTTTTCTGAGACTGTTGTTCAAACACCCTACCTACCCCCTTGAGTCCATATCCCCTAGGAGGCCAGGAGGGCCAGGCCACGTTATCTACCAACCCTCATGAGATAGAAGACCTGGGAGGATGGGAGTGTAGAAGCCTAATGTTTGGCGTTCGGCTCTCTCTTAACTCACTTCCTCAGAGAATAAACACACCTCCCCTCCCAGTGGGTTCTGGGGAGTTGGGCTCCCAAGGTAAAGACCACCTTCCTGTTCCCGGGAGTTCCCCAAGTCAGGGTGACAGGCTAGGCTTCTCTGCAGGGGAGAGGAGGCGGTATCCAGAAGCCGGGCCCTGCCAACCCAAATCCCAGGTCCCCATCAAACGTGTCCTTCATCCCTTCTCTCTCCCTTCCTGCCCCCCACTCCCTCGGCACCCCAGAAGCTGCTGGGCAAATTGTGTGAGCAGAACAAGGTGGTGAGGGAGCAGGACCGGCTGGTGCAGCAGCTCCGAGCTGAGAAGGTGAGAACCAAGGGGTGGCCTTGAGTGGGGGCAGGTGGTGGGGGGAGAACTGGGGGGGAGGGGGGCTGCTAGCTCCATCTTGACTAAGCCGAGAGCTTCGCCCTCCTTGAACTTCTGTCCTGCCCTTGCTCTCCTGGGGAGCCTCAGGAGGGTGAGGACAACCTCCACTCATCGGCCTGGTTGGGCCTCTAGGACTCAGGCCTGGGATGCTAACAGCCCCAAAGAGGGGAGCTTAGGGCCACTCACGGCCGCCCCTGCCTTCCCTCAGGAGAGCCTGGAAAGTGCCTTGATGGGGACCCACCAGGAGCTGGAGATGTTCGGGAGCCAGCCCGCCTACCCAGAGAAGCTGCTGCACAAGAAGGAGTCGCTGCAGAACCAGCTCATCAACATCCGGGTGGAGCTGTCTCAGGCAACCACGGTAGGTGACCACGGTCACCAGAGCGGGCCTGCACCTGCCAGGAGAGCCTCCCCTCCCCGGCGGGGCTCCCCAAATCGCCGGTCTCCCCAGAGGGCCGGAGCAGGGTGCTCCCAGGGAAGGACACAAACACAGACCGGAGCTCTGCCTTGCAAGGAGACAGCCTGTAAGCCAGGCTGCTCGCCCACAGTCTCCATGGAACTGGCGGCAAACTTTCCACCAACCATACCTGCCCCAGGTCGGCATGAAACCAAGGCCACTTGTTTTCCTGGCTGCTCTGGCTTCTCCCCTGGAGAACCCGGACCCTGGCAGCAATGCTGCTGCCTGGTCATCCCTGTGGGCCTGGGGCAGACGCTCCCAGCAGACGGCCTGGGTAATAACTTGCAGGGAAGCAGCAAACGCTCCCGGAGAGCATGGCCCAGAGAGGAGAGCACACCTCCAGAGGCACCCCCCTTCCCTCCGTCTCTTCCCTTCATCCTCCGCTGTCCATGGCCCGGTCTGGGAGAGCAGGAGGGGGAGGGAGCGATGCTCCCCGCTCCGGCCTGTCCATGTGTCTGGAGAGGATGCTATTTTCTCTTACTTGGTTTGTGGCTCTTGTAAGGCTGGTGCTTGGCTGTTGTTAGCATGTCGCAGGCCTGTGCACTCTCCTCCCGGCCCTCCCCGGATCTGCCAGCCCTGGGCCCCAGGCCCCCTAGGCCCCCAGGCCCCCCAGGCCCAGTCGCAGGAGGAGAGGGGTGCTGGGCGAGCTGCTTTCTCAGTAACCCCTCCCCGTGCAGGCCCTGACCAACAGCACCGCGGAGTATGAGAGCCTGGAGTCGGAGGTCTCCGCTCTGCACGACGACCTCTGGGAGCAGCTCAACTTGGACATCCAGGTGACCGGGGCCCGGGCAGGCGGGCGTCCGCGTGTGCTGTGGGTCTGCCATTGTCCTTGTGGCCAACAGAGACCAAGGTGGCGTCCGCTCTTGCTTTAGAGATTTCAGACTAAAGACGAGGAGTTGGTTTCTGGGACCAAAGGCCAGATTCGGGCCACTTCAAAGGGACTCCAAATCTCAGGATAACGTGGGGTTCTTTTTCGGTTCCATCAAATGGAAGGGAGTGAGCCCAGGAGAAGCACGGGAGCTCGTTAGATGCCAGGTGTTGTATGACTGAAGGATTGAACAGACATAAATAGAAATACAAGATCGGTACAAAGCTCCCTCAGGACAGCAGAAGAGTAGGCAGTACAGGCTGCACTCAGGCATTTAGGAAGAGACCTCCTTTCTGGGACTTGTTAGAAGCACGGACGCGCTGACCGTGGACATGTTCTCTGCCTCCCTCTGTCTTTTCTCTGCCAGCTCACTCCTCTGTGCCCCCTCTCTAGCTGGCATTGCAAGCTGTTTCTTTGGTGCGGTTAAGTCCTGCTTTCCCCGGTTTTCCTTCTGGTAACAACTTACCACCCTAGCCTTGCAGCTGGTTGGGTGGAGCGAGGCAAAGGTCTGGTTTGAGGACCCAGGGGATCGGTGGGCGATTTTAAGAGGCAGGGAAGTGTGACCAAGAGCGCCAGCTCTTGGAGCAAACAGACCCAGATTCAGGTGGTGGGCGCACAACTTACTCCCAGGTGGCTGGCTGAGTCCCTTCGTCTCGGAAGTGGGGACAGCTGCCACCCTGGCCTCCTAGAAACGTGCGGCCAGAGCAGGTTAGTGTCTGCAAAGCACTCAGCGCGGTGCCCGGAGCAGGGGTGCTAAATTAGAGGTGGCCATCGTTTTTCAAAGAGTGGGTGCTGTCATCAAATACAATCCATGAGCATTTAGGCGTACGCTGGGGGTGGGCCTTACAGATGAGCTACCTGGATCTGAAGGAAAGCAGGGAAGTGGAGCGCTCAGCCTGGAAAGGGGGCTACCCTAGAATGTCCACCTGCAGGGCCTCCTCTCCATGACCTGTCTTCCCCAGGGGCTCGGGGGCAGGTCCCCACTCTCTTATAGCTCCTCAGGTTGATCTAAGGGGGCTCTTTACCTAATGACAGAGTCCTCTCGTTAGCATTCAGAACTGCATTTCATAGAGGCTGAGGACACAGAGGCAGCCTGGGAGAGAGACGAATGTGCTGGAGAGTGTGAGTGTGTGTATGTGTCTGGTATGCATACTGGAGGTGTGTATGTGTGTTTAGTGTGTGTGTGTGTGTGTGTGTGTTACACTCCCTCGTGCACAGGGCTCCTGCCTGCTGCTGGCTTAAGGGAGGTGGAGAAAGGCCTGGGACACTCCTCAGCAGTCACTTCCTTTGACCTGCTCTGTGGCTGTTGCAGAACGAGGTGCTCAACCGGCAAATCCAGAAGGAGATCTGGAGAATCCAGGACGTGATGGAGGGGCTCCGGAAGAACAACCCGTCCCGGGGCACAGACACAGCCAAGCACAGAGGTGGGTGCCGCCCCTGCCAGCCTCAGGCCTCTGGCTTCACCAGGAATGCTCTGTGCCCTGGCTCCTCCCACACCTGCTAGCTCACCCTCTAGGCCAAGCATGTCAAACTCACGGCTGGCGGGTTTGGCAGGTTTACCGGCCACAGTTTAACATGCTTGCTCTAGGCCCTCACTCTGTGCTCAGAACCAGCCATGGCCTCTCAGGGCTCCAGAGTCCTCCCCAGAGCCCTGGGGTGGTGGGTAGGACACCCTTATCCTCCCCTCCCTAGAGCAGACTGGATATACCACTCAGAGATGCTGTTGACCCTGATCCCCTAGATTTCTCCCCAGAAAAGGTCAAAGAGCAGCTGGGCGTCCCCAGGCCCTAAGCCCACCGGCCCCTGAATGGTCTGAGGCCTCTACCTTAGTGTCTTCCTTCAGCCTGGGACCTTGGGCTGGCTGGCTTTGACATCCTCTCCCCTGTGCAGTGCACCTCCCAGCTGGTGGCCCGGCCCATGTACAACTCCCTTCGGCAGGCTCAAGGGACCCTCCCATGTCCTTGAATCCCGCCCTGCCCTCCCCACCTACATAGCTATCCATACTCCAGGCCACACCCCTGCCCACCCTCATCTTTCTCCTCTTGTTTTCTCCAAGGTGGCCTTGGCCCCTCCACCACCTACAGTTCCAACAGCCCTGCCAGCCCTCTCAGCTCCGCCAGCCTCACCAGCCCCCTGAGCCCCTTTTCACTGGTGTCTGGCTCTCAGGGGTCCCCCACCAAGTCTGGGTCGAATGAGGTAAGCTGATGAAATGAAGTAGAAGGTAAACGGGGAGGGAGGGCCGGGTCCTCATTTGCCTGAAACTACACAGATTCTGTGCCCCGTCTTCCCCAGAGGCCTGCAGTCCAAGTGCCTCTGCCTGAGGGGCGTTCTCCCATCTAGTGTGTGACCTTCTTCCCGTTTCTCCCGTACCTGCTCTGGTCTCACCACATCCCTGGCCTCCTTCCACAGCACCAGGATGGAGAGCAAAGATACCAAGCACTCGATAGGAATTTAAACCCAGCATTGTTCCAGGGGTGACAGGGTGAGGGCTGGGGGATAGTTTCCTAGTCAGTTGATTAGCAAGCATTTACTGGCTCTACTGCGGGAGAGGGTGGCAGGAGGCCTGCTCGGGGTACCCCTGCATGCCCACGGCCTCCACTCAGAGGGCCCAGCGCCCAGGGGGACCGAGGCCGATAGACAGCAAACCAGCCTCAGGCACGTGGTGATGTGTGTCTCAGTGCTGAACCATGTGGTTCAGACTGCAAATGCTCTGCTCTTCCAGAGAGGATGGGACTGGAACGGGACCTGAGGCTTTGGCACAAGTAGAGGAACAGGCTGAAGCGTTGGGACAGGCAGAGGAACAGGAGAAGCGCTGGGACAGGCAGAGGAACAGGAGAAGCGTTGGGACAGGCAGAGGAACGGGAGAAGCGCTGAGACAGGTAGAGGAGGAACAGATGAAGTGTTGGGACAGGCAGAGGAACAGGTGGAGCACTGGGACAGATAGAGGAGGAACAGATGAAGTGTTGGGACAGGCAGAGGAACAGGAGAAGCGTTGGGACAGGTAGAGGAGCAGGAGAAGCGCTGGGACAGGCAGAGGAACAGGTGGAACGCTGAGACAGGCAGAGGAACAGGTGGAGCGTTGGGACAGGCAGAGGATCAGGTGGAGCGCTGGGACAGGCAGAGGAACAGGTGGAGCGCTGGGACAGGCAGAGGAGCAGGAGAAGCGCTGGGACAGGCAGAGGAGCAGGAGAAGCGCTGGGACAGGCAGAGGAACAGGTGGAGCGCTGGGACAGGCAGAGGAACAGGTGGAGCGCTGGGACAGGCAGAGGTACAGGTGGAGCGCTGGGACAGGCAGAGGAACAGGAGAAGCGTTGGGACAGGCAGAGGAACAGGTGGAGCGCTGGGACAGGCAGAGGAACAGGAGAAGCGTTGGGACAGGCGGAGGAACAGGTGGAGCGCTGGGACAGGCAGAGGAACAGGAGAAGCGTTGGGACAGGCAGAGGAACAGGAGAAGCGTTGGGACAGGCAGAGGAACAGGTGGAGCGCTGAGACAGGCAGAGGAACAGGAGAAGTGTTGGGACAGGCTGAGGAACAGGAGAAGCGCTGGGACAGGCAGAGGAACAGGTGGAGCGCTGGGACAGGCAGAGGAACAGGTGGAGCGTTGGGACAGGCAGAGGATCAGGTGGAGCGCTGGGACAGGCAGAGGAACAGGTGGAGCGCTGGGACAGGCAGAGGAGCAGGAGAAGCGCTGGGACAGGCAGAGGAGCAGGAGAAGCGCTGGGACAGGCAGAGGAACAGGTGGAGCGCTGGGACAGGCAGAGGAACAGGAGAAGCGTTGGGACAGGCAGAGGAACAGGAGAAGCGTTGGGACAGGCAGAGGAACAGGTGGAGCGCTGAGACAGGCAGAGGAACAGGAGAAGTATTGGGACAGGCTGAGGAACAGGTGGAGCGCTGGGACAGGCAGAGGAACAGGTGGAGCGCTGGGACAGGCAGAGGAACAGGTGGAGCGCTGGGACAGGCAGAGGAACAGGTGGAGCACTGGGACAGGCAGAGGAATAGGAGAAGCGCTGGGACAGGTAGAGGAACAGGCCATCGCAGGCAGAGGCACTGGCGGTAGCACAGGTACAGGGTGGGAAGGTATCATTGTGGCGACGAGGAGAGAACTTTGCAGAAGAGCTGGGAGTGATGGGAGTGTGCGCAGGTGGCTCAGTGGAGGTGGCCTGAGGGCCAGGCACAGCTGGCTCTGCAGGTAGCTGTGTCCAGGCCACAGTGGGAGTTTGGGTCCAGGGCCCCGGGTCTCCGCGGCATCTGCCTCTGCTAACACTCTTTTCTCCTGCTCTCACAGCGCCTGCTCTCGCTCCTCCTAATGCTCTGGCTTCTCTCTGCCTCAGGAGCCCGGCCCACCGCGGCCCCCCCTCCCCAAAGCCTACGTGCCCCTGGAGTCTCCTCCCACCGTGCCTCCACTCCCTAGCGAGAGCCACTTCTGGCCGTACCCCAACTCCCCTTCCTGGCACTGCAGTGGCGAGACAGCCAGGGGCCAGGTACCCAGCACCCTTGGGTCCTGGAGGGCAGGGGTGGAGGGAACAGGACAGAAGGCCAGACGAGGGGCAAGGGGGGACAGGGAGTCACTTCTGCGTGCCAGTGTTCATCCCCGCACTGAATTTCTGCTGGGCCCTCTGTCTGCGCAAACTCTGGAATGAGGAGAGGCTGGTGGGGACACTCACACACGCCCTCTTGCCTCTCTTTGCTTTCTGTGGACAATGGGGGAATGAGCTGCTGCTCTACCCTGTGCCAGGCTCCTGGGGGCCTCTGGCTGTGGGTGGTGGTATGGCCTTCTCCCTGCCAGTATGACCAGATGATGGGAATCAAGGGACCCCCACACACATACTGGTCCTGTCCTTGTCCACCCCAGGCCCCAACCTCCCATGCTCTCTGTCTCTGCCTCTGTCCTCTCTGGGGCTCACCACCCCCTGGAATATAAGTATGCAGGCCCCCTCTCCCCTGTTTGGGCCTCCCCTCTCGCCTGGATCCCTAGCGAAGATCCAGGAGAGGCGTGCGGTTAGGCTGGGAAGAGGTTGCACGGTGAGTAAACATCCTGTGCCCGAAACTGGGAAATTCACATTCTCGTCTCAGCTGCTGGTGTGTGCCTAGCCCCGAGGGCCTGCCTGGCGAGGTGGGCAGAGCAGGGAGCGGTACTGCAATCCCAGGTGAAGGCACGTGTGTGGCTTGCCGTGCGCCCCAGCAGGGCTGGAGTCGAGCTTTCTGAGCTCTGGCCTAGGCTCCTTCCTCTGTGGTCCTCACTGAGACTTAGATTCTTCAACTGGACGGAGGGATGGTGGTGGGGGAGGGGGCAGGCACAGAATGGAGCAGGTGATGGCTGAGGTCCCTTCTGGCCTCAGGATTCTGTGAGCCACAAGCTGAGTGCCCCTTTCCTGCCCCCAGAGTCCTGGTCCCAAAGCTCACCGGGTTCTTTGGCTCAAGCCTTGGGCAGGATCCAGACAGAGTCCTCAGAGACCCTTGGCCTGATGGCCCCTCCACTCTGGCTCACTTGGTGCTTGCCGAGGGGACTGGCCAGGTGGAGGGGCCTCTCAGAGGCATGAGCCCTCCTTCCCCAAGGACCTTGCCCTGGCCAGCCTAGTGCCTCCCTGTCCACTTCACAACAGGCACACGCAGAGTGGCCCTGTCCCGGGTTTTCAAGGGTTTGCATGCCAACCATTGCCAAACAAAGAACTATCACCGGGGCCTCCTTCCTGGCAGTCACTCTTGCATGAAACACCTCCTCATCCTTCCTTCCAGCCCAAGGCAAGCTACGACCCAAGCAAGAGAGAGTCCCACCAGACCTCACCCCCGGACACGTCGAGGGACATCAGCCTTGTGCCTACCCGGCAAGAAGTGGAGGCAGACAAGACGGCTCTCAACAAAGGTACCTCCTGCTCCGTCTTCCCCTAGAACTGAGGCCCGGGGTCAGAGAGGAGTGCAGGGCGGTGCTCACTCATACCTATGGAGTGCTCACCCACCCAGCCTGTCTTCTCCACGGGAGGTGGGGGGTGAGACCCAGCCTCTCTGAGAAGCAGCCCCGCCCCGTCACTCCGCCTTCCTCTCTCCATGAGGCCCACTGGCTGCTCTGTCTCCCTGCAGTTGGCATTGTGCCCCCGCGGACAAAGTCGCCCACTGAGGAAGAGGGGACCCCATCGGGGGTGGTGAGGAGGAATGCCAATGGGCTCCCCAACGGCCTCTCTGCCCGGGTAAGTACCCCTGCGGGCTCTGGGGGTTTGGCGGGCCTGAGCCAGGCCAGGAGCCCAGGGCCCTGAGTGTCTACCACCTGTCGCTCCTGTTCAAGAAGCCCAGGGCTGGAGGCGGGAGACAGAGTAAGCAGGAAAGCCAGCAGCCCCAGCCGAGGGGTCTTCTTCAAGGAGGCGTGCCAAGGAACAGGAATGTGTGCACAATAAAGATTTAAAAAAAAAAAATACTGAGCAAAATTACTACGATGACATACAGATGTGGCAGAAGCCAGTGGTCAGAGTCGCGTGCTGGCCAAAGCTGTGTGTCGGGGTCCTGGGGCCGCTAGGAGAGCAGCAGAATGCCACGGGCTTGGTAGCTTAACCCACAGAAGTTTACTTTCTCACAGTGTGGAGGCCAGAGGTCTGCACTGGGGGTGTTGGCAGGGGTGGCTCTTCTGGAGGATGAGGAAGAGGCCCCGCCCCCCCCTACCCAGTGGATGGTCATTGCTGGTGATCCTGGGTGTCTTTGGCTTGTGGACACATCACTTCGCATCACCTCCCCCATGTGTCTTGTCTCCCCCTGAGGACACCCATTGTTGGTTTTAGGGTGGCCCTGATTCAGGATGCTCTTGAGACCCTTAATTTAGTTACACCTGCAAAGACCCCCTTTCCAAATAAGTCACACTCACAGGTCCTGGGGGTCAGGACGTGGACATATCTTCCGGGGACCGCTATTCCATTGACTACAGGCAACTTCCCAAGGAAGGGGAATCTTAAGGGATTAGGGCAGCTGAAAAGGCTGGGGGGAGGGCATGCACCTCTCAGAGCCTCGTCTCCGCCCCCCCTCTGTCCCCCTCCAACCCCCCCGCAGCAGGAGCGCCCCAAGAGCGCGGTGTTCCCCAGCGAGGGCAAGGTGAAGATGAGCGTGGAGGAGCAGATCGACCGCATGCGGCGCCACCAGAGCGGCTCCATGAAGGAGAAGCGGAGGAGCCTGCAGCTCCCTGCCAGCCCTGCCCCCGACCCCAGCCCCCGGCCCGCCTACAAGGTGGTAAGTTCCCCCAGCCGCCCACCAGCGTGACCTGACATTGGTCAACACTGCCTGCTCCCGGGGGCTGGGGCGGGGGCGGCCAGCCTGGGCTGGAGTCCTGGGGGTAGGCTGGGGGTTAGAGAGAGAGGGGCCGGAATGCTAATGGGCTCCCCAACGGCCTCTCTGCCTGGGTAAGTACACTTGTAGGCTCTGGGCACTGGGAGGCTTCTGCCCACTGGGCAAGGAGATCCTGCTACAGGCATTCCCTTCTTCTTTTTTCATACATTTGTGTTGATCTCAGAGAGGAGAGAGAGAGAGGAACATCAATGATGAGAGAGAATCATTGATTGGCTGTCTCCTGCATACACACATGGGGACTGAGCCCACAACCCTGGCTTGTGCCCTGACTGGGAATCCAATGGTGACCTCCTGGCTCATAGGTCAACGCTCCACGCCAGTCGGGCTGGGTGTTTCCCTAACTCACACACAGGAATGCCTTGGTTATTTTGGTTGAACCAAATTACATACCATTCAGGTAATAGAGGGCAGTGCGCCAACCACCACCCACAAGTGGCCACCCCTTACCAACGTTTCCAGCACACTTTCTGTGGCTGAGCACTGGGCCGGGGATCATTGGCACGGCTCAGTTCAGCTCCCCGTCCCTTTCCCGTTCTCTGCCTCATCCTTTCAATAGCCCGGGTTTGGAGTTACTATCCTTAGAGAGAGAGAAACCAAGTCACGAGAAATTCAGGGAGTCTTGGGCCACACAGCCGTTAAATGCAGCGCTGGGAGGAGCCCAAGGCATCTGCCTACCTTTTCTTTCTGAAATATGCCGAAGTTGTGACTCATAGGTCCTGCCCTCCAACAGTTCACATCCCAGTTGGTGGATTGGAACTTCCATAATAATAGGAAGTGGTCAGGGACACTAAGAGTAAAACACTGAATCAGCTGCCCAAATATATGTCACAGGAGGCGACGGAAGGGAAGGGGGGGGTGGGGCGGGGGTGACGAATGCTGGTGAGAAATGTTGATGAAGTCCCGCCTCCAGTCCTGGCAGCGGGCAGGCTCTGGACAGGCAGTAGGCAGGTGGCTCTGCAGCGGGAGGCGCGGGGTGGCAGCCAGACCGGGCGCGCCGGGCAGGGACAGCGGGGGCACGCGTGGTCAGGGCGCCCAGGAGGCTCGGGTAGAAGCAGAGGTGCCCGTGTCCCAGGTGCGTCGCCACCGCAGCATCCACGAGGTGGACATCTCCAACCTGGAGGCCGCGCTGCGGGCAGAGGAGCCCGGCGGGCAGGCCTACGAGACGCCACGGGAGGAGATCGCCCGGCTGCGCAAGATGGAGCTGGAGCCCCAACACTACGACGTGGACATCCACAAGGAGGTGAGCGGAGTCCGGGGGGCGGGGCGGGCAGGGGCCCTGAGAGGGATGGAGCGATGACCTTGGTTTCTCCCCCACCCCCCACCCCGGCCACAGCTCTCCACCCCCGACAAAGTCCTCATCCCTGAGCGGTACATCGACCTGGAGCCGGACACGCCCCTGAGCCCCGAGGAGCTGAAGGAGAAGCAGAAGAAGGTGGAAAGGATCAAGACGCTCATCGCCAAGTCCAGGTAACTGGCCTGAGGGGACCTGTACTCTTTCTGCCTCCCCCCCCCAACAGCACCTAGGACACCAGCGCTACAACCCATAGCCAAGGGGACCCCAGCCTCCCCCAGAGTGGAGCGAATAGAGGCCGTGGCTCAGGGCAGCGATCTGGGCCTGGCCCTCCGGTGGGGCCAGGAGCTGCCCGTGGGTGCCCAGAGGACCGTGAGCTCACGCACATGCTCATCCAGACACATTGACGGGCTGGGCTGCCTCTGTGACTTCTCCCCTCCCAGGCAGCCCTACACGTGCACTTGAACCTTCTAGTTCGTTGTAAAGCATTGTGGGTAAGGGTCCCCACATGTGTTTCGCCAGAGCTTGGGGGGGACCAGAGCTTGCACATGCCCCCCGCGGGCCAGCTGGACATCCTGTCCCCCCACCATGTCTGTGTCTGTGCCTCCTCAGTATGCAGAACGTGGTGCCCGTCGGCGAGGGGGACCTTGTGGACGTGCCCCAGGACTCAGAGAGCCAGCTGCAGGAGCAGGAGAAGCGGATTGAAATCTCCTGCACCCTGGCCGCCGAGGCCTCCCGCCGGGGCCGCATGCTGTCTGGTGAGAGGGGCCGGGCCTCGCTCTGCCAGGGAGATGGCCGACCGACCACTTAGGGGAGGAGGCACGGCGCTGGCAGGAGTCAGGGCTAGAGAGGAAGAGGGCACGGGCAGGCTGAGCATTGACGGGCGCCAGGTCCTGTGCTAGGCTCGGGGCGCACAGAGGCTGAGGTGCGGGAGCTCAGAGCCGAGAGCACCCTCCTTGCCCCCATACAGCGGGATGGCTGCGGTCGTGCAGGGAGCACAGGGAGCCACTGCACCGGGGCAGATTAGGAGGCACACAGAAAGGTGATCACTGACGTGATTGGGAAAGTTCAAAGTATTTACCAGCTGAGGGGTGAGGGCCAGGTATTCCAGGGTACCCTTCCCTTCTCCTCCTTCTTATTTGCTTTGTTAATCCTCACCCAAGAATATTTTTCCATTGATTTTTAGAAAGAGGAGAAGGGAAAGGGAGAGAGAGAGAGAGAGAGAGAGAGAGAGAGAGAGAGAGACGGACTGACTTATGGTTACCTCCCGCATCGAGGTACGTGCCTTTGACTAGAATCAAACCTGAACCCTTCCGTCTTCGGGTTGAGGCTCTATCCACTGAGCCAAACAGGCGAGGGCTCACTTCCCCTCCCGGCTGCACACGGAGAGGAAGAGTGAGAAAGAGGGTGCAGGCAACCCAGGGCTGAGCGTGCTAACCATCGCCACGCTGGCTACGGACCCAGCACTCCTTCCCGCTAAGGGAAGGTGAGTCTGAGGGGCTGACTCACGCAGGTCCGAAGGGCAGCAGGTCCCAGACGGACACCGTGAGGTCAAAGTCAACAGGACTCGCTCTCCTCAGCCTGAGACATCGCCTGGGGAAGATGAGAGTGTAACAGGCAAGCACGAGATGAAGGCAGGTGGGAAGAATGAGAGGGATTCTCTCTGAACGGGAGCGGGGAAGGTAGAGGAGAGGCAGTGCTGAGTCACGAAGGCTGGGAGATGACCTGTTGTCTCCCCTCAGGACAAGGTGGCCGGGATGGAGAGGGAGAGGAACAGGGGGGGCTTTGGGGCCGGCCAGGAGGGGTGCCCCGGGAGGATGCCAGGCTTGATGCCTTTGGTCCAGGCGGCAGCCGCAGGCACTGGCCACGGGTACAGCAGCCTGTGTAGGAGTCCGTGGAGGGGATGGCGTCTCGTGGCAGTGTTGACGAGGATTCCAGTTCCAGCTGCCCGAGGCTCCGATCCCTCCTCTGTAAAATTCAAATTAGGACACCGGTGTGGCGGTGCGAGGAACGGACACAGTGTGTGCTAAGCGCCCAGCACAGGGCCAGGCACTCAGAAGGTGCTCAGTAAGCACCCTGCCAGCTGGGGCAGTAGTGGTGTTGGTGACGGTGGTAGTTAGTGCTCGTTGAAACGGCCATGGCTGGAGTAGGAAGAGGAGCCATTTGTGTTTTTCTAGCTCTTTTAAATAGGGCTATTTTCAGAAACCAGCGGCTTTTGGGCTAAACAAGGATGTAAGCCAGCCTTCAGGAAGAACCTAGTAGCAGTTGGGGTGCAGTGGGCATTAGCTGGGTGTCCTGTGGAAGCCCCTGGAGGTGGTTCATTCAGAGAGAGGCTCCCCTTGGGCTGGAGTTGAGGGCAAGGAAAGCCCGGAGCCAGAGGCCGCAGAACCAGTTTGGCTGCCAGGAGGCCCCAGCCAAGCCTCCCTGCAGTTGGGCTGTAAAACGCACTTGAACCCGCCCAAGATCAAATTCCACTCGCTCCGGGCAAAAGGAAACTTCCTCTTTCAAGGCTTAGAGCACACAGTATTGTTCTTAATCCTTCCCTCCGCCCCTGCCCCTGCCCCTGGCGCTCTCTCCAACAGTCCAGCAGCCAAAGGTTCCACGGAAACAAAACCCGCCAGGCCTCTCAGGTTCCGCCCCACACACACAGGCTTACATTTCGGGGTCTGTGCACCGAGCACACACGGTCACCTGGGCTTTGCCAAAACCCCAGCTATTTAAAAAAAATGGCTGTGGACGGGCCAGGCCTCAGACTTAGCCCACTGTCCCCACCACCCACCGTCCATGGCCCAGGTGCCCAGAGCTGCTGATCTGCCAGGCACAGGGAGGACTGTTCCAGGGCACCCATAGTGTGGGCACCGTCCGTGCGGGGGGCCTGTGTGCATGGGGTGCTGGGCACGGGCGTGAGGACAGTGCCTGAGTGTGGCTATGTGGCACGGATGGTGGTCAGTGATGAGTGTGGCAGTGTTGGGCCATGACACCCCGTGTGCACCGACGCAAGTCCGCACTATAGGGGAAGGCGGGGCAGTGTTCAGGTCGTGTACACTGAGTGGCCAGATTATTATGATCTCTGAACGCATAATAATCTGGCTAATATGCAAATTGTCCCCTCGACCAGGAGTTGAACCAGCAGGCAGGCCAGCCCGCCACCATGTCCCTTCCCCCTGGCCAGGTGGGCTGGACCCCACCCATGCACGAATTCATGGCCCAGGCTGCACACACACACACACACACACACACACACACACTCAGTGGCCAGATTATTATGTGTTCAGAGATCATAATAATCTGGCCACTCAGTGTATATGGCATGAGGGCATGTAGAGTATCTGAATCAGTATTGTTTGTAGGTACGTATGTATTTGTGTGTATTCAAGTATGCAGTATGGGGGGAGGGAATGTTTGAGTAAAAATATAGGGGTGTATATGTATGTGTGTTCATGTGTGCAAAGTGTCCACGGGTTTTATGTGGAGATGGTTATGTATGAGTTCAGGTGTTCTTGGTAAGCTGTTGGAGTATAGGTGTATGTGTCCAGGGGTCCCAGTTCAGGGTGGAGGTAGTATTTATGTCCATGTTCGTGTGTGATTGGCTTTGTTTGCAGAACAGGGGACGATAACAATGTTCGTGTGTATTTTGTGCACAATGTGTACATTGCAATATCTGTGAACTTCTGTCTGCGTGGGGTGTGGGAGAGCAGTCTCATGAATGTGAGTATGTGTGACTGGTTATTGGCGCCGGCAGCTGTGGCAGGATTGTGAGCACAGGTATAATTCAAATCTGTAGCAGAATCTTTCTTGCTCTTACTGCTTCAGGATCATTCAGAACAGCCTTCCTTCGCTGACCTCTGTCAGGGGTTGCCCTGAGGGTTTTTGAATGGGTCAGACCTGTGTGTAGCTACATTCAACGCTGCCAAACTGTGACGCTTTTAAAGTTATGTCTGCTTTTTGCCAATGATTTTCTCTCTTCGGTTGTGCCTTCTTATGGATGTCCTGGGTCCCTCGATTCCTCTTTCTTTTCTAATTTTCTTGTTTTCACTCTCCCGTGGGCTGAAACCCCAGCCAGGCAGCGCCTTAGAGCCACACGTAGCTCAGGGTCCCTGACTCCAAGAAGCGCTTCCGAGTCACTGGACGGACTCCCTGGTGTGCATTGTACCATCAGCTTGGCTTCCTTGAGGCAGTCCTTGCTTAGCTTTTGAGTTTTTGAGCTTTTGTGGTTTTAGAAACCGAGGTTGCCAGAGAACTAGCCATCGCGATGCAGACATGCACAGGAATGTGTGTTTCGGAAGCATCTGCGAATGCATTTGAATGTGAAGTTACAGGTGTGCTGAGCTATGGGCACATGTGCGCGTGCACACTCACACACACACACACACACACACACACGAATCTGAGTTGTGTGTAGTAAGGATACGGCTTAGCTGCATCCCACGCTCAAAGTCCGTGTTGTGTGTGGGCAGACACGACTCCCTGCTCCGTGTCTTCGGTACATATGTGGTGTGTGCACATGGGTGATGGGCGGTGCACTGGCCCTGCCTCCTGCACAGGGCAGGGAAGGTGGTGAGGTCAAGTGAGGAGCGTGGAGCGGGGAAGAGCAGGGAGCGGGAGTTTAGTATCCAGATCCTTCTCCCAGAGTAAACGTGAGACTCTGGCGGGGCCTGGCTCTGCTCTGGGCTGCAGTGAAGCCATCTGCTTGGCTCACTCCTGTTTGTACTCAGCTGGGCTGCAGCTGCACAAGGACCAGGACTGCATAGAGCTGGTCCCTGACAACACCCCATCTCCTTGTTCTCAACACAGACTGACAGTGATGACAGAGCAAAACCCCATTAACCCAGCGTCAGCACCGTGAGGCTTGTAGAGTTGTTTTGGGGGAAGGTGGCAGTTTGCCTTCACTGGGCTGTGCTCCGAGTCTCAACCAACAGGCAACACGCTTCTTTCTTTTTAAATACTTTTTTATTGATTTCAGAGAGGAAGGGAGAGGGAGATAGAAACATCAATGATAGCCCTAACCGGTTTGGCTCAGTGGATAGAGCGCCAGCTTGCGAACTCGAGTCCCAGGTTCAATTCAGGTCAAGGGCATGTACCTTGGTTGCGGGCACATCCTAGTAGGGAGTGTGCAGGAGGCAGCTGATCAATGTTTCTCTCTTATCGATGTTTCTAACTCTCTATCCCTCTCCTTTCCTCTCTGTAAAAAAAAAAAAAAATCAATAAAATATATATATATATTTTTTTTTAAAAGAAAGAAACATCAGTGATGAGAGAGAATCTCCAAGCCATGTGCCCTTAACTGGAATTGAACCTAGGACCCTTCCGTCTGCAGGCCGATGCTCTATCCCAGTGGTCAGCAAACTCATGAGTCAACAGAGCCAAATATCAACAGCACAACAATTTAATTTCTTTGGAGAGCCAAATTGTTTAAACTTAAGCTTCTTCTAATGCCATTTCTTCAAAATAGACTCTCCTAGGCCAACTGTATTTTGTGGAAGAGCCACATGTGGCTCGCGAGTCGCAGTTTGCCGACCACGACTCTACCCATTGAGCCAAACCATCTAGGGCGGGGCACACGCTTCTGAGTTACCAGAACTCGCTCTCAGCCTCTTCGAAGCCTCCATTTTAAAGGAATCCATTGACATGGCGATCACCTCACTTTGATCGTCAGAAGCGGGGGCTGCTCTCCTATGCTGTCAATCATTGGCAGCGCGTTGTCCCCCCAGGAAAGGCGCCCCCAGTCCCTGTGCACATTAGGGAGGTTTGTGCCAGCTTCCCCATTGTCTGGGGGAGGGGAGCCTTGGGCCCGGAGGCCAGGCCTGGCCCCGGCCCCAGCCACACGGGGTCCCAGCAGGGCCTGGATTGGGCCAGGTCTCCCCCAGGGCCCGGCTCTCCTCCCCAGTGCCCCACAGGCCACTCCACCTCGGCTTGGGCAGGTCCCCAGGCCCCACTGTTCTGCTTGTCGCCTGGCCTGCTCTCTGCCCTCTGGGGCAAGGCCTGCCTGCTCCCTGCGCCCCTCCCTTCCCCCCCATTCACCTCCCTGTTCATTTCTGTTTCCAGTGCAATGTGCCACCCCAAGCCCTCCCACCTCCCCTGCCTCCCCGACCTCACCAGCCAACCCCCTCTCGTCTGAATCCCCACGGGGCGCCGACAGCAGCCATGCCATGCGGGTCTGAGCGCGGACGTAAGCACTTTTCTACTGTATTTCCTCCGCCCCAGGGAGGGGGACCTCTGCCCTCACCCCCATTGAGCCATCTGCACCCTCTCATTCTGGCATTGCTTCTGCCCTCTGCCCAGTGCCTGGTCGCTCCCCCCACCCCCACTCCCATCCCTCTGCTTGAGCCCGGTGTCCCCTCGAGGGGTCCCGGTGCCCCGTGCTAGACAGGGCGGCTGCTTGGAGCTGCAACACCAATGCCATGGGCTTTGCTTCTCCAGAAGCAGATGGAACAGAGCTGAGGCCTCCCGTGTCCACTGTCCTGAGAGGGCTTCCCAGACACCCTCCCCTATAGCTCCCCAGACACCCTCTCCTGTAGCTCCTGTAACAAACAGCCTTAGGAGCCCCCAGGAGCCATTTCCCCCAGATCTTCCTTATCCCAGAGCTCACTGCAAGTGACAGTAACGCCAGGCTCTATAGCCACAGGCTGTGCCCATCCTTCCCCCCAGCACAGGGCGCTCGGGGCCAGGCAAGCAGAGGCCACATGACTGCGGTCTGTTTCTCTGTCTCGGGGTCTGACCACTCTGGCTCCTGGGGAAGTGTCTGGAGTCTGCTCTGTGCGCCCCTTTCTCACCGATGTCCCTTTTCTCCAGTGCGAGCCCTGGCGGAGGCCACCGCCGCGAAGCTCCCCAGAGCCACCTTCTGAAGCCCTGCCCGCGGGGCCCCGGCCCTCCCCGCCCCGCGCTCTCCTGGGGAAACTGCGAGGAGCCAGGCTGAGGACAGGGATGCCGCCAGAGGAGTGGAGCGCGGATGCTTCAGCCCCGAAGCCCTCGTTGCTCAGACGCAGTCCCTCCGGTCCTGAGATGGAGCGGGAAGCATCCTGTCTGATGCCCGAGTCACGGCACCCAGGCCTGACTGGCTGGGGTGGGGCTGGCCCTCCTGGAACATTCCCGGATGGAGAAGACAGACGCCTGCGGAAGATGCTCTGGACCATCTTAGGTTGGGACGAGAGGTGAGGAGCAGAGGGACGCTCTGCCTCTTGCCACCCTCCTTGACACCAAGGACAGCACCTGCCATCACCCCCTTCCCATCAGCACCCCCACCCGCGGCCCCGCTGTGCCCGGGGCTGTGATCCCTGCCGTGGGTGCTCCTTTGCGGACCCGTGGAGACTAACCACCCTGTCTGAGCCAAAGACAAGATGATGAGATGGGGCCTCACCTCGGCTCCCCGGAGACGGGGCAGGCTGGGACAGAGAGCAGGTCTGGGCGGTGTGTGGGAAGGTTGGGAAGGGGGAGGAGAAGGAAGGAGGTCCTAGGAAAGGAAGGGAGAGAAGCAGCAGGGCTCATTGGCAAGTGAGAAGACAGAGACGGAGGGAGGAGGGGAATGGGTTCCCGGGGTGAGGCTTAGCATGGTGCCAAGTACCGTGTCCGCTGTCGGCTCGGCTCTTCCACCTTATCCCCAGGCCAATGCGGAGGCCCCAGGAGGCCCCACCAGTGAGCAGACAGTGGCCTTCAGCTGACGTGCTTGGCATGGGGGCAGAGGGGGAGGGGTGAGATGAGGGCACTGGGTAGGCCAGTCCGGGACACACCGGGCCCTTTGTAGGCCTGGGCCTGGTGTCTGCTGCCGGTTCTGGGCTCGGGGGCAGAGAAGGATGTCTTGTGCAGGGTATGGTCAGCCTTGGGGCCTCTCCTGGCCATTTTGGTGGCATTCTCTGGCATGTGCTGTGGGCCAGCTGCCAGGGTGCTCGGGCAGAGGCAATGAGCCTTCCCTGGGAGGCCAGATGCCAGGACCCTGCCACCCACCCGCCCCCAGCCCCAGGGCCCCCAGACGAGGACCTGTGGAGGCTGTTCCAAGGACTCTGATCCACACGATAGGGAGGCCAGTGTGGGAGAGACAGAAGCAAACTCATCCTTCCTCTTCTCCGCCCGCCATGAGATGAATGTAGCCAGGAGGAGGGAGGGGAGAGAGTGCGGCTCAACAGTCTGGCTCCTAGGCCTTCTCTCGGCCAGAGTTGCTGCCTGAGAAGTCAGCCTGATCTCCAGCTGCCCTAAGAACAACTACCTTATCTCCCACCAACTCTTCCCTCCTTCATGGCCGGGCTGTGGCAGCTGCTGGTTCATATGCAAGTAAAGGTGACAGTTCATTCAACAAATATTTACTACCGAGCACCATTTATGTCCTAGGCACTGTCCTAGGTGCTTAGGAAGTCGCTTCTGAGGGATTGCAGACTGGGGCGGGTTCCACGTGTCTTCACTCGTGGCAGGTTTTTGGCTACATTTCCCATCTGTAGCGCAGCTCGAGCACCCCAAACGTCCTTTCTCCTCCTCCCCCCCACAGCCTGGCAGGTGGGGTTGGCTCCCAGCTCTTCCTCCTTCCCGCCCTTCTCCATCCACGAGACACAGGTTTTTCAGGGCCTTCCATGCCTTCCCCTTCCTTTGTCTGTCTCTCCTTTTTTTAAAGTGATATTTTTAAGAAATACATGGAAAATACCAAGGATCAATGTCTGCTCGTCTGTCACCTCCTGTTCCATAAAGCTGGCCCTTTATGTTGCTTTACATGCCTTAATATATGTTTTACCAAGATGACGCGCATTGTAGGTGTATGTGTCAGATACGTGCTTGTTTGGGTGTCGGGTCCTTTCCTAGATCGCCTGCCCAGGCCGCCTTCTCTCCTTGGCTCTCCGCACCGTTCCCAGCATGCTGCGGCTGCACCCCAGGCCTTGGATCCAAAGAAGGGGAGAGAAAGGCTTATTTTAAGACAGATCTATTTTACGCTTTTGTTATGAAAGCAAATCTATTTTCCAATGTGCAATGCCCAAATGGAATTGGCCAGCCACGGGAGGAGACCGGGGTGGCTGCCTCCTGGTCCGGCCTCCACCCCGCCCCCCTTCCCTGGCTGCTCCCTTCCGCCCACCGCCCGGTCTGTGGAGGGCTGGTCCAGCCGAGAGCATCTCCCCGGGGCAGGACGTGCTCTGGGAAGTCCTGGTGGAAGGATGTGGTCACGCTGCCCACTCTTGATGACCCTCTAGGGTTCTCGAGGATGAGTCCTGTGGAAGAAAGCATTGAAGTGTGTGCACATGAGCACTCAGCGATGTGCTCCCTGCCTCCCTCCATCACCTGCTTCGGGGTGGGGGCAGGCAGTTTTGTGGCCGCCGGTGCCACACACGAATGTCAGTCTCTCCCTTGACGGACCCAGGGTATGGTGCAAAGGCCAAAGGAAATGGTTTGGGATTCCCTGGTCCTTCAGCGCAGACGAGTTTGAGTTCCCTGGACTTCCCACGCTCTTTTCACGTGGCTGCTGCTCTGGGTCGCGCCAGTGGCATCTGTTTCACTCTGTGACCTTCCTTCTGGGGGCTGTTCCTGAGGGCCTGGCACCTCGGTCTGGCATCCAGACTGCGGAGTCCGCTCCTGGGCTGAGGAGGGTCCCTCGGACATTGTAGCATCTCACCCTTCCAAATGGCTTGTCCCCTGGAAGTGGGCCCAGGGCTCTTGCTTTGTACAGACCTTGGCAGGAGGGGCGTCTTTGGTCCAGATCTGGAATCTGGGGGATTGGAACCTCTTGCAGAGCTCCCGGCCAGCATCGGAAGCCTGACCTCCCAACGTGGCCACCTACCGGCCCCTGCTGCCAGCCTCGTGCATCGTGCTGCGGATGGATGGGGCCTGGATGGAGGCCAGGGCTGAGAAACCCACCGGGGTACACTCCTGGTCACTGATCTAGAGCCTTCCCAATGAGCACATGACCTCCCCAACCTGGAGGCTGCCATCAAATATTGCTACTGTCACTTTAAAGGTTTTCTGAGGTTGCAAGCTGTGCACATTTTTCTGCCTTGGCAAGAGGCATGTTCTCGGGGCGCGGCTGACTATAGCAAGAAGAACCCAATTCCTTTCCCCTTTAGGCAGCCCCACCTGGAAGCTCTTAAAGCTAAGGGAAAAAATGAAATATATATATATATATATATATATATATATATATATATATACACACATACATATATACACATACATATATATACATATATCTATTTATGCACATATTGGGGCCAATCTGATTTGCTAGTAGTAGACAATAAACTGTAAAGGAAATGTCTGATCTCAGTGTCTTTATTTAGCATAAAAGTGGCCTTAGAAGAAGAGTTCAGGTTAGATAAGCAGACAGCATCGCTGCCAGGGGACTGGCCGCTGTAGCAGCCCCTGAGCATCTTTCTAGCTGAAGCCCCTCCCGGGGAGGGGGCGCCTGCCCGAGAGGCTAAAGTTGGGGTCTACTCTCAGCAGCCAAAGAGCCCCCATGCGTGAGCTCTGCATTTGTATATTGCAAGTTTGTATAAAGCCAGCACCGGAAATAAAATGGTTTGTACAAGTGGTGCGTGTGTGTCTTGCCCTCTGTGTCCGTGTCTGCCTGCGGCTGGCTTCGGGGTTCATGGCCATTGACGGTGTGTCTGGGGCCAGGCCTTCCCGAAGAGCAGAGCGGGTTCAAGCACATGGACTGCCGCCTCAAGCTGCATCTCCCCCTCCCTCCCTCCAGGCAGCTATCCCCGAAAGAGTGCCACCCCCCTGCGCCCGGGGAGGCTGCTATGCTGCCAGCACCACACTCACCGTTTTGGCTCAGGTGACCCCAGATCAAGGCTTGTGCCAAGGTCTGTGCACCAGGAGATCAGGTGCTCCAGGCCCTGGAACCTGCTCCTCTTCGGGTCTGAGACGGAGGGTAGGACTGTAGGAGATACTCTCAGCCTTTCTTGGTGACCACACAGTGCCCTGTGCTTCTGCTGTAAGGGACAAGAAGGCGTATGATTGGGAGGAGGGGGGTGTTATCAGAAAGGCCGCTCAAATGCTTTGCATCCAGCCTCAGTGCCTTTGGTCCATTTCTCTTGGTTATCGGTTATTGGCACTTGGTGTGAAAGACTGAACTAAAGCCTCTCAATTGGAATCTTTCTGTGAACAATAGGAGTCAAGAAGTCCTGTAAATTCTTCATATATATATATATATATATATATATATATATATATATATATATTTTACATATAT